CAGGAGACGGGAGACAGGAGACAGGAGACAGGAGTAGGAAGTAGGGAGTAGGGAGTAGGGATTAGCATGGGTATACCCCATGGTAACATTTTTTCCAATCACATATATTACCATTTGAAGGCACATGTACAACTTCAAAATTTTATACTGATCCATCACTCCTATGGTAATCAATTTGGAGGTATATTCCCAGGGGTACAGGGGTCTTCAGATCCAAACCCCTACCCCTACCCTCAAGGGTTTCCCATACCCCTGCTGATCCCTAGATGGGAAGCAGGGAAAAATGGGAAAACAAATACATTCAATGATACTGTTACATATTTTGTATTTTTATATTGGTCAAAATCCTGCTCAAAGAACATAGCACTGACTGATTGTATGTAGTACTATGTACTTTTATGTGGTGTGATAGATTGTACTTTGAGTTTTTTTGAAAAGCTGCTCATAAATATATTTCAAAATCATTCAAAATGCACAATTTATTAGGATGCAGCCTGAGGCCAGGAAGCCAAAGGAGGGCGTAGCCCTCCTTGGCTTCCTGTGACGAAGGAACAACACTCATTTTTCTCCCCTGAAGGAGCGCGTAGCGCTCCTTCGATTTGTGCCAAAGGCACAACGGGCATGAGCTCGTTCGTATACATCGGCTGAGGTTCACTGTATGAGACATCAACGCAACATGGGATACGCACCCTGGGCAGACCCGGCAGAGTCTGTGTCAGTGTGTTGCGAGGCCACGTGCTGCACTGCCGCTGTCACACAGTCACATCTACATTTGTGCCTCGCTTCGGGGTAAGCACTAATTTACCGCGACAACTTTCAATTTGCTTGCAACGATGGCAGCTACTTCAGGCGAGCAACCGGTCATCAACAAAAACAAAAAGCATCGCAAAGAGAAACGTAAGTTTTTAAATTTTCACAATCCGTGAAGGTAACCGTGAGGTTGCGTTTCAGCATGGGACACCGATGACATCGACCAGTAAGTATCATCTTTATATCAGTTAAAATCATTTCTCATTGCATCTCCTCTCCAGTGTAAGCCTCATTATATTTACTGTCAACACGTGCTCAAATCTTCTTCAGTGGACAATAGAACCATTCGCACCAGATCACAACAAAGGCGGCATATTTACTGAGGAATCTTCTTTCGCAACCCTTTTCCCAAAATATAGGGAGAACTACCTGAGGGAAGTTTGGAGCGCTGTGACTAAGGTTCTGGACCCATATGTGAGTCATCGCATCAGTTTCCGCCATACCACACCATTGACTCAGCATCCAGGGCATTGCGTGCACATTGGACTTGGTTCATGGGTCCATGTCCGTCCGGACGACACGCAAAACATTCGATCCATACATCATACTTAAAGCGAGAGACATCATCAAGCTGCTCGCAAGAGGGGTCGCAATCACTCAGGCTCAGAAGGTATTGCAGGACGACATGGCATGTGACATCATCAAAATTGGCAATCTGGTTCGTAATAAGGACCGGTTTGTGAAGCGGAGGCAACGACTTATTGGACCAGATGGGAGTACGCTGAAGGTGAATATCCCATAATTTAGACAGTCTGCATATCATGAACTTTTTGCAGGCCATCGAGCTATTGACTCAGTGCTACGTTCTCGTACAAGGAAATACAGTCAGCGTCATGGGTCCGTACAAGTCACTAAAGGAAGTTCGACGAATAGTCCTCGATTGCATGAAAAACATCCATCCTATCTACCGCATCAAGGTGAGGTGTGCCGACCAACATTTGTTCCTTCCGCAGCTCCATTGAATCATTCGCAGGAGCTCATGATAAGAAGAGAACTTGCGAAGGATCCCAAGTTGGCAACAGAGTCCTGGGACCGGTTCCTGCCCAAGTTCAGGAAACGACATCTCAAAACCTCTGAAAAGACGAGCAAGAAGAATGAGAAACTCGCAGTTGATGACGAAACACGCACCAAAAAGGAGAAACCAGCAAAGAAAGTGTACACACCCTTCCCCCCGCCACAGCAACCACGGAAGGTAATTGTCTCCGCCGCTGTTTGTTGAGCAGTGCTGACGTTATGTCCAGGTTGACCTTCAGCTTGAGTCGGGAGAGTATTTCCTCAAGGTCCATGAGCGGGAGGCACGGGAAGTTCAACAAAGGAAACAAAAAGTGCGTGCTTTGCTGTGCGATCTACAACAAATCTGATTTTACCGCAGCAAGCTGAAGCAACGCTTAAACGACGAGCGGAACGGGCAGAGGCATATGTCGCTCCCAAAGAAGAAGCAGCCCCTACAGTTGAAGAGAAGCGAAAGCGACGGCATACAGAAGTGGATTCCGATGATCGGGCGGGGAGGTCGAAGAAAAAGAAAAAGGCCGTTGCTACAGAGGCTTGATGAAGACCCTATTATATAGTCAAGTCACGGTACCGCTACGCTCTGGCTAACTGTTCGTTCATCGGTAGTAGAACTAATAGCACGGCGAGCAAGGACTAGAAGCGCGCGTCTCAGCGCGACAAGGGATGGAGGTATAGTTTGAGGGCATGATAGAAACAAGTACCTCGACGTCGTTGAGCGCATTTTCACAACGATCACGAAGAAAGCCGGGAATCAACATGCGGACAAACAGCAGCAGACCGGCGACGCTGCTTCCGATGCACTTTTCATGCTCATTCTTGAAAGAAGGCTTTGCAGATAGGATGTCTCGTTACTGCGAGCACTCAGAAATGTACCTCTTGGTCCTTATAAATTGCGGGAGAATAGGGATAGGATCACAGAGACTGGACCTGTGATCCTGTTCCGCTCGTATGTTGTATATACTATTTAAAGGTTCCTGTGGTTCATATGTTCAAGTCCATAGTTATGTAAAACTGAAGCAAAGCTATTTTATTTTTTGTGTGCATGCTATAGGCATCTGGCCAGACCTTCAGAAGGCGGTGAAATAGTAGACTAGATAAAGGCCGAGCTTCGCCGGCAGCAACCTCGCTCCACAAGTGTTGAAGTTGTGTTTCAGTCCGTTGATCATTGTTTTCCAAGGCCAGGTAACAAATGGAGTACATGAGTTATAATATATGTACACGATAGTTTGAATAGTAAGTTGTTTGTTAAAGGTTAAAGTAAAACTATGGAGAGTGTTGCGTTGGCGTCATGTTCAAGAATCATCGTGCAAGATTTGTTGTTTTACTACATGTTGTAGTGTCAGTGTGCTAGGGTGAGCATGCCACGCAGAGGGCTGTGTCTCTGGTGGCTTCGCTGGTCCTCCATACATGTCTAGGTCAGACACATGACACATGCACCAGAAATTAGCAGGGGTCAATTGTGTGTGGTGGACGAGTGCGGTAGTCAAGTCGAAAGGTGAGGAGCTCCACGTCAGGACTTTGACAACTGGCCTCCCTGATGATGCAATCATCACCTAGAGGAGGAGTGCGACACCTAAAATGATGAGAGGTAACCCAGCGATGGCGACACAGATGCTGTTTAAACTCAATCGATCATCCACACATATGATAAGTGAGGGCGAGCTATAGGATATATTGAGGAGGACAGCCGAAATACCATTAAGCAAGGTGCAGATTGATGTTGAAAGGCTGTCGTGGAGTTAGAGTGTCCTCCGGCGTATATTCTGATCAAATTGGACTGCACAAAGGTCAAACATTTCGAAAATCTGAAATTCAGAGTCATACCAATCATACCAATGCAACGGACATTTCGTGTCACGATCAGCTGTCATGAAGAAGTAATAACACGGATGCAACTACCATTAATACCAGCATACGCATTTACGGATTACCAAGCTCAAGGTCAAACAATTAGCAATATTCTATTATCGATATCGGAACACCACCCAGTGGTGAACTCACTCCATTCAGCATATATATATAAAGTGCGGTGTATGTTGCATTGTCTCGAGCACATGGTGGATAAAATATTCGGCTGCTTCGGGATTTTGATGACAAATTATTGACGAGTCATCCCAATGAATACCTTCGTATCGAGGATCAGCGTCAGCGCTCAGTGATTGATGAAACTTGACGAGGCAACAGAGAAATGGTGGACAATACATGAAAATTCAAGTTAATTAGACTTGGTAAGAAAACACAATTCAAAGACAAATTTTGTCTCATAGATCGCTGTTCCGCGCAGATTTGGTTGCTATTGGAATGGCGCAGACACAAACTGTTTGAATTGAAATATGTAAAATATGAAAACGCACCATTTGGTAGATCACTTTGTATTAATATACTGAAGCCCAAGCATGAACTGAAGAAATACACCAAGAACAAATGTAGACAATTGGGAAGATCATCCGATGATATCGACCCTTATCGACCGTGTGCGGCATTCGAATAACGCTGCTTATGATCATGATCACATAAATGGTAGTTTATTCACAGGTATTTTTTCGTGGTACGCACAGCCACAATTGTCAGTTGGGAGTGACCTTGTATTCACTTCGGTAACTAACATACACCAATAGCCACCAGCTCGGAGTCAATTGCGCCCACCCGTCATGCTGTGCAACGCTATGGCGACCAGCTGTGGATTGGTTGGTGCTTCTAGATATCAATACGACAGCTGCATTGCTCTCCCTGACAGTGAATCAGCGGTCGCCATTTTCACTTTTGGAGCTAATACAGGTTGTACAGCATAAGACCCAACGACCGAAGGTCATCGCTCAAACACATAAATGACATGCTAAGACATTTCATCATGGAAGGGGGAAGATACAAATGTGTTTTTGATCCTGTATTATATCTACAGGTCTCTAGAGCTTGTATTAGAACAAAAACAAATAAAAAAAGGGTTTTATGGCGACCCCTATTATGTGTAAATATTAATCACTTACACTAATGCTTCTCTATAGTATGTGGTATGATTGGGAGTGTGAGAAATGTTGAGGGTTGGAAATAGCTATGTTTTGGGTGTAGTGACCACGTTCCCAATGCGTTGGTGATGCACAGGTCTGCTACGCCCCTGTTTGATGCGTTACTATAACGCGAACCTGTGATGATGCCCCCCAAGGAACGAAAATGATCATCTATTTATGCCCGGGGAGAGGTGTTTCTGGGAAGAGGAGAGTGGTAATACTAGCTGCTTCTTCCCAGGAGAGGCGACCCTCACCCCCCAACTGCGTGGGTGTTACGGAGTAAAAGGTCGGGCACAGCTGATCCCATTCCTCTGTAAAGCAGTTCAGCCATGAAAATACAGTCTCCTTAAGTATGACCTACTTGGAATGGGGTTTAGATGTGCAGCGGTGTCTGAGGGACTTTCCGCCATTACCACGGCAAACCCGCTGGATACGAAGAATCAGTCATTTCTTTCACGAGGATGTTCACAGACATACGCATCAAGGTGCCAATCAATGTGGCTTTTGATCCAGAGTTAGTACCGTTCTTGACAGCTTGAGAAAAATAACATACCAATGCAAGTACCACGGGCCAGAGTTGTCGGTCGTCCATCGTATCACCATTTGTTGCCCAGGGTTGCCTGCGCTTACTACATCGCGGCGAACTGGGTTCTCATAATTGAAGGCGCTGCTGCCTGCGCTCTGTACAACATCGAACGCGTGCTAATGACCATCAGTACCAATCAAACATGACATCGAAGGCGCGGTGAACTTACCCCATGAAGGTGTATGGGATGCTGGTACAATATAAATAAGATACATAAGCATCAAATGAAAGGAAAAGACGTACGGGTCCACCTGGAACATTGGGTACTACTGGTATTTCCATTGTCAGCTCTACCACTTTGTTATGTCCTAGAACGTATACACTCCCGTTTGGGAGCAGCTGGAACGGATCTTGAGCTCCACTGAGAATTTGGAGTAGAACAGGAATGCTGGGGGGGCTGAATGTGACATTATTGATATAGAATAATCCGGTGTCATTGGTAACCTTGAAGTGGAGGTTGATATCTGCGTTTCCGTACCCTGGAATGCCAGGAGCACCGGGATTGATAAGAGCATGCAAGTTGGTCTCTGTCAATATGTTCTGGGGTGGCACATAGGCCGTGGTCGGATCGACCTGTGGAGCGCCTTGGTAGCGCAATATAGCAGAGTTCTGTCCTCCCTCGAAGGATGGATTCACCAAATTGGGAAGACTGCGTATCCAGTAATTATCCACTGGCTGATTGGCTACCAGAACCACAGAGTAGCGTTGACCCGCAAAAATCTGGAGCTGGTCTACCACTAGTGGTTCAGTTAGCTGTCCATCTGCTTCGATGACGGTGAAGATGTGGCCATCGATGGTGAAGTTGAAATTGGGGTCGCAGGATATTGCAACCAACCGCAGGCGATATCGCTTTCCCTGTTCGACGTTGATCACAGCCAACTCAGACGCGGGTCCGCCTGCATAACGACCCAGTCCGTTGATAAGTGTAGAGTTGGCATCGGCATCTACAAGGTGGCGCATGACGGGGGCCACAACGTGATACCTAGTGGCACTGCTTTAGTGGGGCAGGTTACCAATGTACTTAAAACCTACCAATCGGAAAGTGTAATTACGGTACTTGCTGATAACACATAATGGTCAGAGGGTTAACATGAACAGATTATTCTCTTACCATCGTCGACATCATACATGTATGCCAAAGGGTCATCAGGATCATAAATTACTAGGGCTCCCCTCAGGCCATCGCACTGTTCCAGACGTCAGTCCTCCACGATATGCGCAAAATGCAAGAGCCACTTACATACTGAACGGAATAATGGCTATGATACCAGTAGGTGCCCGCTTGGTTCGGAGAAGAGAAATTGTGTACAAAAGAGTGGTTTTGTGCAATAGGACATTGTGTGACGAAGGACGTCCCGTCAGCATAGTTAGTCCCATTCTGGAAGATACCATGCCAGTGCTGCGGGCGGTAAACATGGTTAATTAATAAAAAGCGCGAGTGATTGGCACTGCTTACGACACTGGTACTCAAGAACATCGACTCGTCTGTGAGCTCGTTGACTACCTGAATGGAAAAGTTATCTCCCTACTGTGAGATCAGCACTGTGTACAACAAGGAGGTCGACGGAAGCTCACCTTCTGGGCCGCAATCAAGGGTCCAGGGAATATGCCATTGACGAGAGTTGCTCTGTAAAAAATCAGGAGTGAGCTCAAGGAGTGTCGTGGCAATAGACTCACGGGCGTTCGAAGCCATCAGGAGCGATGACTTTATTAGCTATGGTTAATGTAGTTTGGGGGCTGAGTACAGCGGGCTGAGAGTAGGACTGTGAGCGAGATATTATAGATGCAGCATTAATCAATGAAACGAGAGAAGCGATCAGGATAGGAGTAAGCATCATCATTATTCACGATAGGCCGTGGTGCTCGTACCCACAAGAGTAGGGGGGGATTGCAGGATAAGATGGCGATAAAAGACACATACTCCTCTCAGCTTTTATCTTGCAGCGGCAGTCCTGAGGGTATCCTAGTCCAAAGCAGCTGTACCTCGACTGATGCCGACCGGCGTGTGATCACCCCATAAACAGTTGCTCAGCAATCCGACGGACATCTGAATTTCAACAGCGTATTGCCTTTGAAATTAGCACCTATCCATGAATTGAAGAATGGTGGCGTACCACAGTTGCGTCTTAAAACCATGACTCGGACAACATAAAGCAAGTCAGACGACCAGGACAGTGCAGATGTCCCACAGCAGTGCCAATGTTAGGTTGCCATGTCAGTTCAACTCTTCAAGCATAGAAAAGAATGCAGATGGCTAGTGGTAATAAAGCATGTGCTGCGAGAAACTTGGACTAGAGTTATCTGAAAGGGAAGGATGGTCGCACCCTGAAAGGGAGCTGAGCGCTAACGTATTTGTGTGTTGGAACTAATCAAAAGAGAATCTGTGTTAGACGGCTTGGATAAAAGTTATAATGTCACCACAGAGGTTTTGTGCTGTCTAACCAATTACGTCGTTGTGCGATGAAAGGAAACATGTAAGGGATCAGGCAGTGATCAGACAGGATCCGTCATCCTGGAGCACGTATGTGCCTTCGTGCCTTCATTTTCATTTAGTAACGATCAAGAATTTGCTGTATGGTGTATCAGCGACACTAGTCAGATAACAGCTTACTGCAAACATGAGATGCTTACCGTCAATGCTCACCTCTCATGTGGCATCGCAAGAATGTGCACACTAGCACTGGTAGAATAAATAATGTGGACCAAATTAGCTCACAGCCAAAAATAACTGCAATTTTCGGCACAAACCTGAAGATGGAACAGTGGAGAAAAGTGGTCGGAAACCGTCGGATTTCAATACTTCACTATTGGTATTGCATAGGAATGCAACAGACACCAAGTCGGTGTGCGCCTTCCTTTGTAAAAGAGGTTAGTACCATCATTTGAGATGGTGGGCGGTATCCCGGGCCAAAGATGGAGGTAATACCTCCGGACAGGAACAGCTTCTAGGATTAGGAGATGCACTAGTGTCTGAACCTTGGCAATCGCCGAACTGTGGATGTCTCGGCAAACAATTTTGAAGGGAGACGGCTAGCTGCGGCAAGCTTTGATGGTTGTAATGCGTTCGCAATAACATTATCATAGAACGGTGAAAGTGGGGCTGAAGACACCATAAAGGATCCATCACACCAGCCATGCACGTGTTATCAAATGGAGAGTCTGTTCACGGAGCTGGTAGGCTATGATGGTTACTATAATTGAAGATTGCGACAGACAGTCAAGTTTGTCTTGGACGATGTGATTTTGAACCTAGTAGACTTGAACCTTGCAGACAGACTTTCTCCTAGCAGTGACTAGCGTGGACGTGGCCACCAATTCATCTCAATTGACCGCTACCCCGATGCAGTAGTGCGGCGTGCCTGGCAGGCGGAACCAACAACAAAAGGCATAGTAGGTTCCCCTATTAATAGAGCGTCGGGAGGCAGAATCCACCTTGACTACTGATCACATTATCTAGTGTCTTGCATATATCAAACTGCTAGCTATGAGTACCAGTTTTTGGAAAAACAGTCTCGCTGCGAGCTCGGCCCTCGGGACTGGAAGATATGTATTATTTCCGCGTGCCTGACCACGGATGCAAAAGTACTAGTGTGGGTGAGTTTTCAAGCATTCAGTTTCATATGGTACGCTGTTCCTCATTTTCTGTTCGTCATATGTATTCTACTAGCTGGCAACAGATCACAGTAAATGGGCAACTCTTCGCAAGGTACTTCAGTAAAGAGACAACGAATAACACAACAATGATGACAAGAACCTAATAACCTAACAGCAAGTTGCCAAAGTGAAACGATAAGATACACAAGTAGAATGAAACGACATCAAATCGTCCAGACACAATACACTCGTAAAACAAGATCGAGCTCACAGAACGAAATCAAACAACATAACACATCTCAGAACCACCGAGCCCATTTCCCCGGACTCGGCATATTCGGGCTCTCGTACAACAGACCGCGTCGTCCTTCAAATAATCCAATCGGGCTCTCGTGCATCCCTTTCGCGCCAAGCCGCGCCAGCTCCTCATCGAGGATCGCCCCTGGATCATGTGGATCAAATATAGACTTTGATCCAGGTGTGCGGAAAGGCGACTCTGCAGAGGAACTGTGCGTAGGAAAGACCAGCTTCTTGGGCGTTACAGGCGGGAATAAAATCGAGGTATCTTTATGATGATGTCCATGTCCATGCGTGCCGCGCTTGCGCGACGGTGTGCGGATATTCTCGGTATCAAATACAGCAGGGTTAATCCCGTCATCCGGGCGGAAGGTGGCAGAGGGAGGTGGGTCCAGATTGAATTTATAATGTGCGAGGCTTGCGGAGGGACTCATGTGGAGGCCTTTATGAGATAAGGGCGTGCGAATAGGTGAGAGTTGTACAGTGCTACTGCCACCCCTGCGAGGAGGCGTTGAAGGACGGGGAGGGGGTGTTATAGGTCGGTGTGATGCAGATGTTGGTAACATGGGCGGAAGACAATCTTTAGCAAGCGGCTTGGCTTTCTTGGATTTTCCACGGCGGTCGAGAGTAGGAGATACCGGGGCGGGAGGTAATCCAATGGATTTCTGCACAAACGCAGTCGATAATTAAGCAAAACACAGACAAGAGGAATGTGCGTACCTTCGGAGGCGTTTTGGGAGGTGGTAACCTTGCCTTCGAGTTGCGTTTATCAATATCTAGTAGAGCAATTCCAGACTCCAGCGGAGGGGTTGACTCGATACGAGGGCTCATACCGCCATCGAGGTTAAAAAAGAGGTGGTCCTCAGAGGACAACTGAGGACTAGAAGAACTTTTACTTGGCGTGAGGGCGGGTAGTGAGGAAGGAGGAATCGGCGACGTCTGCGCCGCATCAGAGCTCTTGACTGCGGATGAAGGAAGCAATGACGATGAACTAGCGCGAGCATAACTCGATGATGGTGGTAAGGGAGGAAAAATGACATCGGCAGGCAGCTGTACACAGTTTTGGTAGTAAGGTTGATGATGCGCAGAACTATGAGGAGGAAAAAGAGGGAGGAGTTGCGAGTACGATACAAGGGTTGGCAAAGCGGAGCCTGCGAATCCAGGTGATGCTTCTTGTACAGGCGAGCTTGTCCGCGGTTCTGCAGGTGCAGGTGCAGGTGCAGCACCTTTCTTCTGTCGTTTCGTTTTGCGACCGGACGCTGATTCTTCCGCTGCGCGCTTCTTCGGAGCAGTCTTCTTGTTGGCCTCCTTAATTTCCGCGCAAAATTCTTTCCTAAAACCACCATCAGCGAAACACTCGAGATCGCAGTCCCAAATTGCCCAGAGTGTGCGCCCAACACTGCGATCACGGGGGACCTTACGGAAGCACACTGTTGTGCTAAGGACATGACGAATAGAGTTCATCCACGTCATTTCGCTTCGGTTGTAATACGGATACACGATCGTAATCCAATCGTAAAGTTCCTGTAGGGTGAGCCGATGCTCCGGCGAAGAAAGTATTGCTTGGCCGATAAGGGCCGCATAGGAGAGATCTGGCTTTCTTGTAGAATATGGACCGGGGGGAAGGGTATATGGAAGATTTTCGTAATCATCTTCGTCTGGGAGGGGACCCATGGGACCAGGCGATGACACAAGGTTGACAATAGGTTTAGAGGGCGTCGCGAATGGAGAAGATTGAGGTGGGGAGGAGGAAGGTAGAGGGGACTTGTAATAGGCGTTGCGGCGGGGGGTGATAAAGTTCGCATTGGAAGTGTCTGCAACAATTGATGTGTGTGGTTGATCAAAGCTTGAACAAGAACGGTGACGCGTGGGAGTTGGTGACTGGTCTCGGGGGGTGTAAGAACCCTTGAAACAAATTTGTACTCATTGTAATTGTCAAAAATTGGAATTTGAACATACCCTTTTGAGACGTGATGGATGCTCTATGGTATCATAGTCTCTATAATACTTGTGGTGCTGAGGAGTGACAGGAGGAGGGAGTTCATCCTCGAGGTTGTCCTTGAATGCGGCAGTGTACGTAAGTGACAGCAACATCGAAAGTGGCGCACTATTTAGATGGTACACACCAATGAAGCTATGTTGGTAGATGAATCAGATTGATCCAAAGATGGGACGCGTCGTAAATCGCGTGATTGCATGAACGCGTCAAGGCTGAAAGCTGTGCTTGCAGGGGATGGAGAAGGTGCATTACGGTCCTTGTCTTTCTTTCCTCGCTTATCGCGCTTTATTTTTCGGCTCCTTCTCTCGAGGATCATTTCCATGCTGTCCATATGACGGAGCGGGATAGCAGGCTCTACGGGCTCAGATTTGACAGGCGTGGAAGGAGGAGGTGTTTGAGAAGCAGTAGACGCGTTTTGACGTGAATTTGAGCTGGAATGGGAGCAAGAGCGAGATTTTCCAAGTACAGAAGCAATACTCTGTTGTGCATCTGCAGATTCTGCAGAAAAAACGCGAAGAGACTTCGCGTCTTGAGTAGTCAAAAATTGGCGCATTTGGTCGCTATGACGGCTCAAATCGTCGCGGGTCAAGCCAATTTTCTGTAACAGGTTGGATATCGGTGAAACAGGTTTCGCAGGTTGTTCAACATCCACCATGGCGGTTTAGAAAAAAAAGTACAAAAGATATGGCCAGGCAAGACTATAGGAGGAGTGAAAGTGATTAACAGTTACCAAGGGCGGAGTTTCAAATCAACGCTCTTGTGCATTTTTCATCATCCACTCACGCGATCTCAGTTTGCACACAATTAGATTCTTCTGCAGGGTCTGGGCCAATGTTAACCGTGAGTTCACTATAGTCTTCTTTGAGCTTTGCATAAGCTTAGGCTATGGATTCTTGCAGAGCGTCCCAGCCGACACTGAAATGACTTCACTACAACTTGCAGTTGTAGAACATGCAGGAATCACACAAGTGGAATTCGGATGTCTCACACTTACGGCTCAGAGGTCCACACTGCAGAGATGTTCACACTGACTTTTCCCTTTGACACGTTTTAGGTTCTACTGGAATTTAAGCGTGAGGTCTGTCTCATTCCTGTGGGCTTTCGTGACGTCTTGGATCCCTCATGGTACTTGGAATTGATTGGATTCTCTCGCCTAACAAACATGTGGATCCCTGTTTCTCAAGAGCTCATTTTGACGATCTTGTCTCTCAGTGCCACGATATACACCGACCACTTCCAAAGCTTCTGCGGTCCCTTCCGACTTCGATCGTTCTGCCTCCCAAGCATCGCCTTGGACACTCACTTGGCGAGCAGGTTACCGTTTATCTTGAAAACTCATTCTAGCTTCCGAACATGTCTCCTCAATGTTTCAATATTCATGATGGAATTGTCCTTAGCATCCAAGTCATTCTATGGACGTTACTCGGTTGAACATTTCATCTTAATTTGATCCGAACATTCCTCTCCGACGCGAAAATGATGGTATTTCTTCGGCGATCAGTGCAATTTCCAATAGACACCATTCTCGTCACGATGTTTCAATCTGCATTTCACGTCTTCCCTCCGTGTTTTACGGGGCACTTGGAAGTTCAAAGGCGACGTTCTTTTAGGAATCCTCAGATACTTCAGAACTCACATTGGATCATGTTGGATCCCGCCGCTGATCCGCTCAGCTAGTAATTTTTTCCGAAAAAATTGTGACGAATTTCATTACGATGCCTTGGATCTAGACTGGTGACCGGAGTTGGATTCTCGTCTAATCAGGATTTAAACCCTATTTTGATTGCTAGCCCCATGGAATTCGACCACCTTTGAAGACCCTCCGCGGTAGCCCCTTAGAGCTCTGATTTTGTTCTGCCCTTTTCCGAGTATAGCTTTGGCATATGATGATCACTTGGCCGACTGATTGCTATCAATGGAATCGATGGACCTTGTTCCTTCTACAAGATGCTTATGCTGTACCGGTCCTGTCAACTATTTGTTGCCATATCTTTTGGCGTTTGATATGGACGAGCTCTCGAGTTATGACCCGACTGACAAGTTAATGCGAGTAGACGTGCTACACGAATGACATCTCTTCTCACCTATTACACGGTCGGTCACCGAAGAAGTGTTCAATACCAACCAGTCAAACAGTAGCCCTACCATGGTCTCTTGCTGCTTATCATCTTATCATCTCTCTCGCAGCCTTCTTATCCACCTTTCTCTACAGATCTCAGTCCAAGGCAAATGGCGGAAATATATATCTTGTTGGAGGTATAAAGATAGTCATGTGTATCAGGCTGACACGGCGGCAGTCCGCTCCTAAAAAGCTTGGTAATCAAAGCGAGATATATGGCCTGGTGACCTTCGGTCAGGCTAGCATTGCGGAGTCGAGATCATGTGCAGATAGTACGGCGCTCCTCTGAAGGTATAAGTGCTATCACCTCACAATCTTTCCAACATCTCGTTAACTTTACCTTCACTTCACACAGACATCATGTCGATTTCTACACTCACCCTTAACGACGGCAATCAAGTCCCCTGGATCGCATTTGGCACCGGTACGGCGCTGTTCCAGCACGATGCACAGGACGCTGTCAAAACTGCCATTGCCAACGGTTTCACACACCTCGATGGTGCCCAGATGTACGAGAATGAAGAAAGCTTGGGCGCCGGCATCAAGGCGTCTGGCATGCCACGCTCTGCGCTCTTCATCACCACTAAGTTCCATCGTCTGCAGCCTGACCAGACTGCCAAGAGCGCACTGCAGGTATCGCTGAAGAAGTTGGGTGTAGAGTACGTGGATCTGTACCTCGTGCACGTGCCCGGCCACCATGCGGGTCGGTTGAAGGAGGTGTGGAAGTCGATGGAGGAGTGCAAGAGAGAAGGACTATCGAAGTCTATTGGAGTGTCGAACTTCGAAGTTGAGCACTTAGAAGAGATTTTGGAGGGCGCTGAGTTCCCGCCTTCGGTCAACCAGGTGAGCCAAATTACGTCAATGTCAGTATTGTTTTTGACAATTCCCCTGAAAGGTTGAGATTCACCCGTATGTGTGGAAGTCCTTACAACCTGTGATCGCGCTCCATAAACAACACAACATCGTTACGTCCTCTTACGCTGGCCTATCACCAATCTTCCGCGCGCCAGGAGGACCCTTGGATCCCGTAATCGAGAAAATCCGGGCACGTCTTGAGTCTACTCGAGGAGAGCCCGTGTCAGCCGGACATGTGCTCAACAAGTGGTTGGAGCAGTATGACATTTTGGTCGTGACGTAAGTTTCATTCATTGAGGGTGTGCTGCTATCGGCTTATTTTATATCTATCAGCACTTCGAGCAAGGCGGATAGGATGAGAGAGTATCTCGATACAGCCAACGTTCCGCGGTTGACGGCTGAGGAAATAGAATCCATTGAGATTGCTGGGGCGCAGCGTCAGCAGAAATTTTTCGTATGTTTGATTACTTGAAGGATCGTTACAGTACTGATCGAGATGTTTTACAGTGGGACTGATATCGTCAAGGTGGAGTTGTCACTCCTCTGACAGCCGTGGCCATCGGCAAGGAAGGGGGAACAGGCAGATAACGAAACACGACTGTTTTCTACAATATCATTATTTGAATGACTATTCATTTCCCTCACTGTTAATTAACTTAGAGCGTGTGATGTGCCCTGAAACTTAGGTGCGAGTGGCAGTCAATGGCCAGGGACTGATCATTAGCTTATTAAGTCTATAATTCTTCAATGTGAATACACTAGCTAGTGCACGCAGCTGCGCCGTGGAGTGAAGCTGAGTCAGAGCCGCTCAGCGCTCATTAAAATATTACCCGTCACCTGAGACTTCATGCATTTGCCGAATCACATCATGTTTCCTCAATGCTCATACATGTACTCGAGCGACTGAGCATTCCTCATAGAATGCATCTCACACATGCATGTGAGTCGACCGGTCAAGATTGAAATGACCTCATTCTACGCATCACGAATTCGGATGTCTCACAATTGCCGTTGAACACGGTTGAAGGTCACATATATATAGGGCCGTCGTTTGGCCACCATTTGACATACCTTCTTTTCTCTCTATTGCCACTTGCTCCAACTTCATATACCTTTGTGGCACTCGATAGGACGACTCGACCAAACATTAATGGACTTGGTGCGATCCAACAAGTCTTGACCATGCGACTTGGACTACGAGGATCATCTCGCTCTCTTTGCTTCTTGAATCTTTATATCCACTGGGCTATCCCGCAAAACCTATGCATGTCGATCTCATAGTCGAACTCCGTTTGTTGGGACCCTATTTTGACGATCTCGTTTACCCGGCATTTCTTTCTATCTTGTCCTACTTCTCAAGTATCGCTTTGGCTTTGGATAGTACTCACTCGGCCGACAGTTTAATGTGGACCGAACCCGATGCACTTGCTTTTGTTCAATGATCCTTCTAACGATGCTATCACCTGGATTCTGGATCGGCACCATCACACGATATGCTCTTTATCTTCTACCTTTATCGTCCTTTCCGTCCGACTTTTCTCGATTTCACCCGACCGAAGACTGCAATTTATTTTGCTTGAGCATTCCTCCTTTGATGGGCAGCTTTGCGGTCATTGACTCATCTCTATTCTACGATGCGCAATTTTCAATGGACACGTTCAATCACGATTTCTGTTCTGAGCACCAATACTGCGACGCCCTCTGTGGTATTCGATGGAATTACTCTATTCTACGAACTTGGTACGAGGTCATCAATACTCAGGAGGCGACTTGCATGGACGACCTGGACTTTCTCTCGTGAGAATGGGCTTCAGTTTGAGCGAGAGGAGCGCCCCATTCTTCGATGTGCCCTGCGACTGCCCTTCGTCCGTCATTTCTTCGGTAGCACCTATCCAATTTTGCTGTCTAGGCTACGAAATAGTCTGTATCGATCTCCTAGTCGATCTCCACTTCTCGAGACTCTTCTGACGATCTCGTTCATCCGATATTTCCAAGAAACCCGGCCTACGTATTCATCTATCACCAAGTTTATTCATGTGGTAAATGACGATCATCTATTCACCGAACCGAATTCTGGCATCGCCAGTCGGCTTGAAGTCGTCCACATCGGCGTTGGCACATGGCTGTCTCTTTCACCAGCTACGCCCTCCGAACTCAATTCAGACTGGAACATAGCATCATGCAACTTGACCAAAGGATGTTTCACCATCGAAACCCAATGAGATTACAGGCTGGCTTCGACCGACGATCGATTCTCGTCAAAATAAGGAGTGCTTTCAGCAATGATCGGAATATGGTTTGACTTTCCTTCCATCAAGTGTTGTCCAACTCATTTGTTACATTTGTGCCAAGCAGCTGAGGCGGCAAGTTCACTCCCGGCCTCGCTTGCTGAAATCAGATTCAAGACTCGAGAGAGATCTACGGGGGTTGTTGTATGTCTTCCCTTGTCTGAGTGCCTCCTCGAAACCCTGATTTTTGTTATCAAACCCTTCTGGTCAAATCTCCTAGCTCTCCATGCCTGTACCTGGTGACTATTCATAGTTTATTCCTGGAGCTCAGATAGCTGTGATTTCGCGATATATACTAAGGTATGCTGAACGCAAACAAGGTGCGTCGGGTTAGTGTGTATGTCCAAGAGGTCATCACCTCTTATCCGACGTATCTTGGTTTGTGATGCACTTTCCAAGCTGTCCAGAATGAACCGAGTCGCGAATAGAACTGAGTAGTGATCGCACTTGATGACTTAAAGGATACATAGCTAGCTTAGAGCAGGCATGTTTACTACTGCTGTATTTGAATCTTATGTCAAAGAAAGTAAGAATGGAGCGTAGAGTTACGTCACAGTCACAGAAGTCACGCCACATGTCCAATATTGATGAGTCTGACTTCGCTTTGAACGCGCAGCCATGGTGTACCATAATCTCAAGGGTAAGTGGTTCTGAAGCATGGCTTGGAACTTTTGACTGAAGCATTCAGACAGCCCTGATCAAAGGAATAAGGGCCTGCAAGGTAGATCTCTCAAATTCACAGTCTTGAAGTCACCTTAAACCCTTGCAGACCGTTGCAGACGAGCGGGCCCTCATCCAGCAAGAATCAGCCGCCATCCGCGCCTCGTTCAGAGAGGAAGATGTGTACGCACGACACAACAATATTGCAAAACTACTATACATCCACATGCTGGGGTCGCCCGCCCATTTCGGTCAGATAGAATGTCTGAAACTGGTCGCGAGCCCCCGATTCACGGATAAACGCCTCGGATATCTGGGTATCATGTTACTTTTGGACGAGAATCAAGAGGTCCTGACTCTCGTCACCAACTCGTTGAAGAAGTATGTGTCATATGTTATGATCCGCTGTTTTTTGAACTCACCTCTTGCAGTGACATGAACCACTCCAATATGTATGTCGTCGGTTTAGGACTCTGCACATTCGCAAACATAGCTTCGGAGGAAATGTCGCGAGATTTGGCAAATGAGATAGGGAAGCTTTTGGGCTCAAGCAACACTTATATTCGCAAAAAGGTGCGCACACTCCCTATCCACATCGCGTTCAAGATTCGAATGTACTTCAGGCTGCTCTATGTGCTCTTCGCGTCATCAAGAAGGTTCCTGACCTTGCGGATCACTTTATCTCGAAAGCCAAGAATCTTCTCACTGATCGAAACCACGGCGTGCTACTTACAGCCATAACACTTACAACCGAAATGTGTCAGATCGACGAGAATTGTCTGAACGAATTTCGAAATGTAAGCGCTTTCGCTCGTGCTAGCAAGCTTGTTACCATTGATTATTCACGTGCTCGCAGGCTGTGCCGCTACTTGTTCGTAACTTGAAAGCCTTGGTCACCACCGGATACAGCCCCGAGCACGATGTCTCTGGTATCACAGATCCATTCTTGCAGGTTAAAGTCTTGCGATTGCTTCGTTTACTTGGCAAAGGCGATGCACGTGCTAGCGAGACCATGAATGATATCTTGGCGCAGGTCGCAACTAACACTGATTCGACCAAGAACGTCGGCAATTCGATATTATATGAAACTGTCCTGACGATCCTTGAGATCGAAGCGGATTCTGGTCTGCGCGTCATGGCTATTAATATTCTTGGCAAGTTCTTGGGTAACCGTGACAATAACATTCGGTCGGTTAAAATTACGTTCTGAAAGTATATTCGCTTACTTCGCTCAGTTATGTCGCTTTGAACACTTTGAACAAAGTGGTCGGAATGGACACCAATGCAGTTCAACGGCACAGAAATATCATCCTAGACTGTCTGCGGGATGGCGATATATCCATCAGGCGGCGTGCTCTCGAATTGTCATATGCGCTCATCAATGAGCAGAACGTGCGGATACTCATTCGCGAGCTGCTTGCTTTCCTTGAGGTTGCGGACGACGAGTTCAAGCTTGGCATGACAACACAGATATCACTCGCTGCAGAGCGATTCGCTCCAAACAAACGGTGGCACATCGACACTGTACTTAGGGTGCTCAAATTGGTGAGTGGATTCTCAACGTCAAAGGTATCTATTCACTCACGTTCATGTTAGGCCGGAAACTTTGTCCGCGAGGAGATTCTGTCTGCTTTTATCCGTCTTGTCGCTCATACCCCGGAGCTTCAAGCATATACATCGTCCAAGCTCTATACCGCCCTCCAGGATGACATCTCACAAGAGTCACTAACATTGGCTGCTTTGTGGGTAATCGGTGAATATGGTGATGTGCTCTTCGATGGCGGCGTCGTGGATGAGGATCAGCCCAAGCAGGTCAGTAATGAACTTTTGCGCATGGAATTGAGAATTCACGACTTGCTTCTTCTAGATTACCGACAAGGACCTTTTGGATCTCCTACTTACCACCCTTGACTCGCCCTACGCAAACTCCCTTACTCGTCAATTCCTAATGGCAAGTATCACCAAGTTAGCCTCCAGACCGACGACAAGTTTGCCACAACAACAGCGAATTGCGGAGGTTCTCGCCAAGTATACCACTAGCCCAGAGTTGGAACTGCAACAACGCGCCGTTGAATTCGCAAGTTTGTTCACCTTGGGCGATCTAAGGAGTGGCGTCCTAGAACGGATGCCACCCCCAGAGCTCAAAGCTACTGTAATGGGCGTTGGTGCGTAGACTCTTAAATCCGATTTGACGACGTTCTGACATTTCCCCAGTCAGTGAAAATAAGCCCGTTGGGTCCACGCAAAGTGGGAAGGATGCCGATCTTCTTGGCGATGAGGTGGCACCGCCGACGCCTGTCGTCAATGGCCAGGCAATGCACAACAATCACGACCTCCTTGCAGAGATCTTCGGTAGCAGTCCTGCTGCTCCGTCTCCGACTCACGGTCGCACACCCTCTGTTTCACCACAACCCCAGAAAAGCAGTGTCCAAGATATTCTCGGTTTGTTTGACTCTTCCCCTTCCCCAGCGTCGCCTGCTCCTGCTCCTTCCCCTGCCACATCTGCTTTCGCCACCTTCTCTCCGCAATCACAGAGCCAGGCACCTCCCCGACCCTCTCCGCAACAACAGCACCCACCTGCGCCACGATTGACCTCTTATACCGCCTACGATAAGCAGGAGCTCAAGATTACCCTTACACCTCAAACCTCTGCTGCGCGACCAGGTGTCGTCAACATCATGGCCCGCTTCCAAGTTACCGGTTCGAACGCTGCTACCGGACTTAACTTCCAGGCTGCTGTTCCCAAGGTAAGGATTAAGATTCAACAAGTTGGTGACATCCTACTGAGCTGTTGTACAGTCACAACAACTGCAGATGCTTCCCATGTCGAATTCCGATGTTCAGCCAGGTGCTACGGAAACTCAACAAATGCGTGTGATGGGGCCGCCTGGTGTATGTATACCTTCCTTCTTCATGTTGAAATCATTTTCTGATTGATGATTTTTATACAAAAGTCCAATATACGGCTACGGCTACGTATATCATATACCCTTGCCGGCCAGGCAGTCCAAGACCAAATAGATTTCTCGGGTTTCCCGCCAGGGTTAACAGGAAGTGGTTAGCTTGTGGTTAGGATGTACAGTACTCGCTATCTAAGCTGCTACGCACAGCGCTATTAATGATCAGTATCTGGCACACACTTGGTCTACATGGATATTACCGGCTATCTTCGCTTTATCACGACAAGAGCAAGAGGCAACACCTTGGATACAAACTGATTCAGTTCAGGCTCAATTGTAATAACACACGATTTGCTTACTATGCTGGCTGTCCTGAGAACATGCCAATTGTTTGATTGACAAGGGATCTTCATAGTTCGTACGTAAGATTGGAAGTTTGCCAAGAAGCAGACACGTACCGTCCCTAAGCCACACGTCAACTGGAGGAGGTTGCCTATTAGGGACAGGAGGATCTCTGAGCAATTCCAAAGTCTTGAGACGAGGGCAACGGTTGATGATAGCGATGGCGATGTTTCTTTCGGCTTGCGATCCTTCGAGATCGCGCTTTACTCCCCAGTGGATATGTTCCAGCTTCGGGAACAATGCTACCCACCCAGCTAATGCGGCAGTGAAACTAGGCGAGGGCAATTCTTCATTTTGGCCCTTCCAAATAATCGTGAGGGATGCAATGAGAGGCATCACCCTCTCTGAATCTGCACTGCTTTGTGACAGCAGCCAAGACATGTGTTCGGTCTTGATTGCTATTGAGGTCACGTAAAGTTTGTCTCTAGCTACCATCGCGTCGAGACAATCGTTCAAAGATGTGATGTATCCATCTGCATCAGGGTCACTGATGTCTATATGTTTCAAGACTTTGAGACTAGGCTGAAGACGGAGGATGTGCCCGATGTCATTCGGTAATCCCATGAGTGTCCTCAGTTTAGGAAGGGCATTAAGGGTGAGGACCGACTTGTTCTGTGTCCCACTATCCTCCAAGGAGAGGCCTTTCGTAGTCAGTGAGGTGAGCCCGTTATGACGGCGTAGAAACTGTGTCAAACATTGAAGCGACAATGAATTGGAGGAAATAACAAATTCTCGAAGGTGGCGAAGGCGGAGCATTGACAGGATATGGGTCCACTTTGGCGCATTGCGAAAGCGAAGGTCAAGTGTTAACGAAGTGATGGAAGAATCATTGAGTGTCCGAATGGTCCACGTGCTCATGAATGGCGCGAAGAAGTAGTCTGTTGAAAGGTTGACTGTCTTCAATGTAGTGAGGGAAGGTGTTATTGTGATCCAGTAATTCTCGTCACGTTTGTAACGGCGAAATAATTTCCTGCAAAATCTGGCAACAGTCTGCATGGTCATAAGTAGATATAAGTAGTAGATAAGACAATGAACTTACATCCACGGTACTGACTACGCCTTCCAAGCGCAAAGCACGGGTCAGATCTGTTACTCCTGGAACCCATGCTCTGTCTGTGTGCCCCCCAGTTATGAGCATATCTTCGCATCCCTGTTTCTTGATGACAATCATTAGATCTATGAGCCCAAATATGACTTGTCTCGAGTATGGCTCCATGCCACGTCCGAAGCGCAAGTGGAGGTTGCGGAACGGCTCCAACTTTGCGATGAAGCGCGTAAGAAACTTGAGTTGGGTATAACTGATCACAGTACAGCAGACGGAATCACATTTCTTCACCCAGAGTGCCAACAAAAGCCCGCGCAATGCAGCTATAGTTGGTTGGCAGATACTGGCAGGTGCGTTCGTAGGGGCATTGACGCCAGTGAACCGATCAAAGTAGACGGTGAGTGCAGCAAAATGAAGCTGCTTTGAGACGATGCAGAGCACTAGAAGCTCATCGTTTGCTAGATTCTTGGATATGTGACATAGGATTTCGCTCGGAAGGTCCAAAAGACAGTGCATCGTCGCGGTTGAGATAGCTGAGCGCTGAGAATACAGTAGTGAGCACACAATGCGGATAGTAGCAATTTTGATGCCAGCATGCCGCACCTTCGTTCACAGCCACTACTTGTCTTCTATTGCCCACGCTGCAAACCCCTGTCATTGAATATTCAGTACGTGGTCTACGCCTACGCCACTACAGGGAGCTCAGCCCTTAGATGCGGAAGTTGGAACAACCGGATCATTCCAGTGACTGCTATTCTCAGATGGCTCGGACCACCAGCGCTTGTTCACTGGACCCTATACATATTCTTTTGAAGGAAGACGTTACTAGACCGGTAGCACTATCATCGATGATATATCTACTCGCACCACAAGCGCCTTGGGAGGGCAGATCCGACACCGACCGCAATGCAAACCATTCCAGCCATCAACCAATACACCATATTTCCACCAAGGAGTTGCTTCTCGATACTCAGCGAATAAGCAGAGTTCGCCACCGCCGGTCCAATAGCTCGTATGACGGACACCACAGTTTGCGCGAGCCCATTTGTTGCGCCAATGGATGCTCGGTTGGGTGCAGATGCATTGATGTACATGAATACGACACCTGTAAAGTGACACAAAGTAAATATTCAGTCCAGTTTAACTGACCGTCATGCATACCAAATGCAGAATACGAGATTACGAAGGCGAGGAGCTGCAGGCCTACCAGGAGGTAAACAAAATAGCTCAGTCCCTGTGCCTTAGCTGTGAAGCTGATGGCTGGGAACAGCGCAAGCATTAAGAAGCAACTGAAGACAGAGAAGAGATACAGATTTCTTCCTCCTAGCCAGTCATGCAAGCGCACAAAGAATAACAATTGAAGCACTCCGTTCAGAATACCAAGCATAGCCAGAATGATGCCAATGGCTGGAGCATCCAGCCCGAGGCCACCCATTTCAATGGGTGTAGCATAAAAAACTGGTTGGACAGCGCGGAACGAGATTTCAATCAGGGCAGTAGCAGCATAAGCGCAGGTTGCGATGACCACCCGCGTCACTAGCAAATCGCGGAACGGCAGGGGCTTCGTTTTTGATCGAAGGCCAGAATCTGATGGCATTGTACTTCTTTCGCTCTTGTACAATCCGAGAAACCGAGCAAAACTAGTGCTAGGTTGTGTGCTCTGGGACACGGTAAGTTTTCAATTCAAGTGCTTGGGGATTGACAAACCTCGCTGAGAAAAAAGAATGTAACGCACCACCATACAAGCGCTAGTGTTCCTATCACGCCACAAGGAAGGAAATAAGGATACGCCTTTAGGAGTTTAGATCTTCCAAATAGTTCCGGATACTGAACCGTTGGAGTTGCAAGAAGTCCGCCGATGAGAGGCCTGCAAATTCAAACTTTTAGTCAACCAAGAATTAAATGATAGAAACAAACGATTACCCCAGAGCGATGCCAGCTTGCCAAGCAAAAGGAATATACGCATACGCCTGAGACATGTTTGTGGAGTCCGTGATATCCGCGATCATGCTCTTCATCACTACCACGTTACCATTGAGCGCACCACACAGACAGCGGCTTATGTCGTTCAATACGGGATTAATTGCTCACGATAGGTCATGCGTACCTCAAGACGACACTCCAAAAAGTTCTTGAGAGTCCAAAAGAGTACATGGAGATGGAGATGCCCGTGAGACCAATCAATAAAATTGGTTTACGGCCAACACGATCAGACAGACGACTCCAGTGAAAAGTAGTCAATGCCTCGGTTGCAAAGAAGAGTGACTGCTACATGTATAAAACATTCATCAGAAAACCATTCCATCAAGTAGTGATAATTGCGTACCAGTATGCCAACGTAAATTGCAACACGAGCTTCTTCACCGTTGGTTACTCCAATGCTTCGTATCAGCTGGACGCCTTTCCATCATCAATTGTTTGAGTGCAATACAGCAAGTACCGACCTGTGGTGCAAACGGCGAGATGACTTGCGAAGTCATTGGTTCTAGGACTTGAAGCGACAGTATGATGGAAAATTGGCTCCACGGGAGAGGCGTCTTGTCTGTAATTACTGGCTTCTGTTGGGGTTCTACATGATCATTAGCATGCAGCAGAGGTGTCTCTTCGTCAGTGGTTTCGAGGGTCATAATTGTTGTACACCAAAACTCAAATTTGTCACTCTGGCTTAAGTACAATCCAGGGACAAGTCCCGGGGCGTGGTATTTGTGGGGCATAATGGAGATTAGTGTACCATTACAGATACTTGGAGTGAACTCACGCTACCATACTTTGTGTGCAGATCCCGAGTTTGGAAGCATTTGAACCACCCAAAGAGGTCAACCATATTGACCCCGCAACTTCGATGCTGAGAGCCTATGTTCGATATATGGGACAATCAACTTCTACGTTCCCACCCAAACAAAGTATTGATCAAATCCATCCGAGAGCTGTGATTTTAATTAGCCGTTTTACATGGAGCAAGATTAACATTGACGCCCATACAGACAATACCTTTCATCAAACGATAAACAGATTCCCTGTAAGTTTGTACTGTTTTGTAAAACTCGATGGTTATTAAGAATGCGGAGTGACGGCAGCTAATCCAACACCAAGACAAAAACAAGCCTTTGTGCGAGCCTGTCTGTCGCGCCCTCGGACGCTCGGTTAAAGGTCGCCGGGTTGATACACATGAACGTAATGCCTGGCGCAACAGATCAGAAACTCTGTTGTCAATGAAAAAATGACAACAAACTATAAGTATGCGACAGCCGTGCTGCTCAGAAGAGCCCACCAAACCCCATATACTCTGAACAACGCCACATGATCAGGGTTACGGGAGAGTCAGTACCCATGGATAATGGCAGAACAACGAAAGTGTTATGCGAGAAAGTTTCTCAACCAGCCTATCATTGCGAAGGACATGATATGTATGTTCCCTGTCTTGTCTTCGTTTCGCGTGTTGCATAGTCTACGTCATCCAACACCATGTGAAACGCTTTAAAGTCACGAGTGCATGCTTCTACGCCGAATATACTCCGCGTCCTTTCGACCGAAATGTAGGAGGCGGTAGTACGGATATCGACGATCGAGCCTCTGATCAAGCGGTTATCCGATTCGATTGCAATTGAACTTTCTGTCCTCAGGCCGATCTGAGTATCATTAACGTTGAAAAATCATAGATGCGACACCACTCACGCACCTTGGTGAGCAATAGAATTACTCGTCCCAACGCATGGCAGACGGAATCCAATAGGCTTGCCCATAGTGCTCGTCTTGAGAATCCAGCCAGCAAAGGCCATCTCGAAGAAGCATGTTCTCCAGAGCAGCTCGAGCACGTTCTCCCGTCCATCCTCGACGGTTCTCCAGGATTGCTTCAACAATCCATCCTCCTTCTACTTGTGCTTCCGCAAGAATTACAGCCTGATCTGCATCTAGTTCCTTGACCACGCTTCTCACCATCTTCTTTCCACCACCAACGTCAAGCACTTCGTATCCAGCGCCGAGCGGTTGAAGTGTCTTGATGCTTCTTAGAACATCTTCCTCTGTAATGACACCACTCTCGACGCCGCGCAGCTTGCTGACCATACGTACAAGCTCCCCCATTTCTATCACGCCCCCGTTTCTCTCCCTTGTGCTTACGCACACGTCTACTATCTGAACTCCCAGCTCATACTGCCAATCGCCCATCCCAAGCATTTCTGCCCACCAGCCACCCTTCCTTGGTCCAGCGAGGGGGTCTACGCCAATCGACGAGCACATTTGCTGAAATGCATGACGAAAAGCTGGATCGCTACGAATTGAATCTCTGTGTGTCGTTGCGAAGTGCGACAGGGCAGTTCGGAATTGTGTTAGTTGTGACTGTAGATTATCGACCTGAGTTTTCGAGAGCTCTGAAGACAGTTCTGCAAAACGCTGTGATAGTTGTTCTTTGTCAAAAGCAGCGAGACCGACGCCGCGATGCATGTTCATTTGGTTGCTTCAAAAGTGGACCTACTCTGATGGTCCGCCTAGAACGACTTCGCTATCACGTGGCAAGGTAGCAACTAGTACGGGAGAAGCCGTCCCGGAGTGTCGGCCAGTTCCATTGGGCCCCGACGATGCGAACGCGCACGCTAGATCTGTACTTAGCTAGAGACCTCCATCATGGGGCACCTAATAACGTTGGCTACGTGAGCGCTTTGTCATATCTGCTGTATCTTCATATTTACCTACATCTTTCCAGATGGTGCGTTGTAGTGACCTCGATCCCAACTAGCACACACTAAACCGCTGGAAAGTTCATTAAACCAGTGGGCGTTAGATTTTCAAGTAATGCTCTTCAGATCACCACGTATCATTCAACTAAGGTTATACGTGTTAGGGAAATTATGAACGTATCATTCAAAGCATCGCGATCGCAAAGGAGCGCGGTGCTACCCTGAGAGTCGGACCAGAGCTGGAAATTCCGTCAGTACTCGTGCACTGTGATAACGCGTGTAATTATGATCCTCCACAATAGTGGGTATGGCTGCTACGACCATTTCCTTGAAGGTACAAACACACACACATAAACATGGCACTCCTGATAACCTATCACAGGGGACACCATCCTTCATTCCTGGGAGGTACTGGCCAAGATCTTGGCCAGCGATGATACCATGGGAATTATCTGTGATATTGGAATGTACGTGTAAAGCGTCATTTAACGATTCTATAGATCTCATTCAAAACATGTCAGGCCTGTTGTGCACAAGAATGTAATTTACAACTGCCGTGTCATTGTACACGACAGGCAGATTCTGCTCATTCGCCCTAAGATGTGGCTCGCCAACGATGGCAATTACCGCGAAATGCGGTACTTTACTCCCTGGATGAAGTATCAACAATGGGAAGATCATTTCCTCCCAAGGATTATTCAAACCGTCACGAAGCAGGTTTGTCATTGATTTCCTCAACCTCAGTCATGCACAACTCTTCCTTTCCAGGTCAAAGTACCTTTTGGAGACTGCATTATAAGCACGGTGGACACCTGTATAGGTGTCGAGCTCTGTGAAGAGCTCTTTACGCCAGCAAGGTATGTGTCTTCATCTTACCCGAGCACGTCCGTTCATGCTCGCATACTCTAAGTCCGCATATTTTAATGGGACTCGACGGCGTCGAAATATTCACTAATTCCAGTGGGAGCCATCATGAGTTACGAAAACTTTACACCCGCGTCGAGCTAGTGAAGGAAGCGACACTCAAGGTAACAGCCGTGCCCCAGTATGGACTCTGCCAGCTAACTCGCCTTCCAGCTTGGTGGCGTCTATCTTTATGCGAATCAGAAAGGCTGCGACGGCGATCGGCTGTATTATGATGGTTGTGCCATGATCGCCATGAATGGCCACATCGTCGCTCAAGGTTCACAGTTCTCCTTGGATGATGTTGAGGTCATCACAGCTACGATCGATATCGAGGACGTGCGCTCACATCGCACATCCCGCAGCCGCGGGCTCCAGGCTGCCCGTTCTCAGGCTTTTCATCGGATTGAAGTGCCGTTCGCACTTTCAAGTGGAAAGTTTGGCGATACAGATGGAGCGATGGCCCTCGGTATCCAGGCCAAGCTTGCTGGAGCAAGATTTCATACTCCAGAGGAAGAGATAGCGTAGGCCCATTATTTGTGGGTAAATCCAAATACTGATGATCTCTACAGACTTGGTCCAGCTTGCTGGCTCTGGGACTACCTCAGGCGCTCCCGTACACAGGGATACTTTGTCCCTCTCAGCGGAGGTATCGATTCCTGCGCTACAGCTGTGATAGTATATTCCATGTGCCGCCTCGTGGCTGAGGCTGCACGCAAGGGAGGTACTGTCATTCATCTGCTAGATTTGGTATTTTGGCTAACATGATCACTTTAATCAGACAAGCAAGTTATTCTTGATGCAAGACGAATGGTCGGAGAGCCGGAAGACTCGGTGTATACCCCTTTAGACCCGCATGAGTTTTGCAACAAGATCTTCCACACGTGTTACATGGGCACCGAGAACTCTAGCGCAGAAACGAGAAAGAGGGCCAAGGACCTTTCAGCAGCGATCGGATGGTATGCGTACACTTTATTCCTCGAGACGCTCGACTAAAAATAAATCCAGCTATCATACAGACTTGAACATGGACACTCTTGTCACCTCTGTCCGTGACCTGTTCGCGTTCGTTACTGGTATGCGACCTCAGTTCAGAGCCCATGGCGGATCGGGTGCGGAGAATTTGGCGCTGCAGAACATCCAGGTAAGTACCACGAATCGGGATCTACATGGTCATTGATGATTGCTGTCAGGCACGGTTACGGATGCTCCTTGCTTATCTCTTCGCTCAACTACTTCCTTGGGTGCGAGGCAGACAGGGTGCACTCCTCGTCCTTGGCAGTGCGAACGTTGATGAAAGGTATGTTGACTGGCTGAAATAGTGACAATTGACTGACTTAGGGTTCAGTCTCCGCGGGTATTTCACAAAATACGATTGTTCAGCAGGTCAGCCTATCTCGAAAGAAATGCTAACTGAACTAATATTAATACCAGCTGATATCAATCCTATTGGCGGCATCAGTAAGACTGATCTCAAGAAGTTCATTGCCTACGCTCGGGATGCGTTTGAACTTCCTATCTTGAACGAGTTAGTACAGCTGGGTTATCAGGATCGGCACTTTTTCCTGATATTCTGCAGTTTTTTGACCGCCGTACCGACCGCTGAGCTAGAGCCAATTTCAGAGACATATGTCCAAGCGGATGAGGTGGATATTCACTCGAAAGTGTTCTCTCAATGGTGCTGATCACTCGATAGGCGGACATGGGCATGACGTATGATGAACTATCAGTCTTTGGTCGTTTCCGCAAAGTGGAGAAGTGTGGACCATACGGCATGTTCACGAAGCTGGTGCACGAGTGGGGCTCATTCCTGTCTCCCGTTCAAGTATGTCATCATTCAAGATCAAATGTAATCCGCTGATTACGTCTTCTAGATCGCAGAGAAAGTCAAGCATTTCTTCTTTGAATATGCGCGCAACCGTCATAAGATGACAACTCTGACGCCGGCATACCATGCAGTAGGTATATTTATCTTCACAGACTGATATGAGACTGACTTTGTCGTAGGAATCCTACAGCCCAGATGACAACAGTATGTTACGCTCAAAACTCCACATCACAAGACTAACATTGTCGCACAGGATTTGATCTCCGTCCTTTTCTCTATCCCTCTAGGTTCCCGTGGCAGTTTAAGAAGATAGATGAAGTAGCTGCAGTCCTACCTGATCGTTCCAACTCGGCTGCAGATAAGACCAAGACTGACTGAATAACGTAGAGATCCATGTACTAAGACGACATAAGGCCTTAAGCTTTAAGGCTCTAAGCCACAATAAAACGATACTTTGTATTCCAATATGGCGGATATCATGCGAGTACAATACAGTGCGATGGACAGAGAAACCGAAAGGAAATAAACAACAATGTTAGTCAGATTATGTCCGCAAGAAACGTGATAGCGTGCTTTGAACCGTTATCTTCTTCATGATCGTCGGCTCCGGAGCTGAGGTAGAAGAATAAACATCGCTGCGATTAGCATAATAATCCACAGAATCACTTACGATCAGTTAGGCCTTCATCTTTTACTTTCCGCTTGATGCTATCCATGACTTCGCTGACAGCAGAACGATCGAGATCTCCCCGAACTTTCATCAATCCTTCCACAAACGGTATACATGGCCCGTGTACTTTCGCGAAGGCCCAAAACGACAGGAATGCCATGCTTTTAGACGCTTCCAACATCGCTAAAATCAAGTCCACTACCTCAAAGTATGGCTCGATCTCTTTGGTGGGTTTGAACCCGCTGAAGAAGGAGAACACAGTACTGATGTCCTCTTTGATGCGCTCCGTTGCTGCTGGTATGCGTAGTTTTGGGCAGTTGGCGAGTGCAGTAAGATAAGTAACCAGGAAGGCGTCAAGCAGATACTCGACAAGAAGCTCGAGGAGTGATGGATTGATATAAGATTGATCGGCCATGTAATCCCGCATCGTAAGCACGATCTGTTCCATGATACCGTCGTACCATGTTGGCTGGAAAAGTTGCTTAGTCGCGGGCTTCAAGTCGTTGAGGATAATATCAATGAATGTCTGGATGCATTTCTTCGCAACATCCAAGTTTCCATCAATGGCGTCATTAAGCTTCTCACTAATGGGCGTTCGGTATTTCTCTGATACAAGGGGTTCGAGTCGTCCTAGAAGCGCCTCGGTGTTATCGGCGGACTTGATCTGGTCGTTGGCAAGTGCAATGCAATACTCTGCCAGACCCCCGACGACCTCCTCCGGTTTCTCCGTCTGCTTCTTCAGCTCTGCCTCAACAACTTTGGTCCATTGATCCTGTATGTTCCGCATAACTCGATTCACCTCGCCCACCACACGAGCAAGGATAGTTCCTTGACCACTTTCTGTCGCTGCATCGATTTGTTGGTTCACCATCTGGAACAGGATAACCGCGCCCTGCGTGCCATAGAGTCCATCGCTGTCCACTTCAGGTGGATCCGAGCGCGTGATGAACTCCTGAATCTCTGTCTTCATCAGGTTCGTAGACCATTCATCGAGCTTCTTGACGATCAATTTTAAGTAGTCCTCGATAAGGCTCTGCTCCTCGCCGCCGAGCAACGGTGGATCAAGGAGCTCCGGAGCTACATTCAACTCTGTCATGCTCTTCTTGTACTCCTTAATCCATGCATGAAGGTCGAGCATGATGCTCGCGTCAGGCTCCGATTCCTATGATGCGCTGAAGAGTCGCATTCAGAGTACGGTGGTACTCTTTGATATAGAACGCATGCATCTCGTAGTTCGGCGGAAAGCATGGTACCACATCGCTTTCGATGCGGATGAGGTCTTGATATATCCAACTAAGGCCACCGAGAAAGGCGCCAGGGTCGTGCTGATGTCGCGTATATGCGTCGTCAAAATTAGCCTTAATAGAGTCCGATATGGCTTTGGTTACTTTAGAGCGGTAGTGCTTAATGATACGGGCATTTGCCTGCATGGACTTGAATTTAGATGCTGCATCCATCTTGGCAGCTTTTTTGACGAGCCTAATAGCGATAGCCTTACACCAGACCATATTAACTTCGTTCCATGTGGATGATGCAGTGTCATACCTTTTCGTCTTCCCGTGCCTCGAGCTCCGCGATCTTTATGAGCTTTACCACAACTTGCGGATACCCTGCACGAACAAGTGGCAGCACATTGCAGGCTAACTCCATGATGTATGTCTCGAAGTTTTCAATGAGCTTGTTCAACCGCTCAAACATACGCGCAAGTTTCTGGCGCGAGTTGGCAGAAGCTTTCTTTGCTTGATGCATGGTCTGATTTCGGAATGCCTCCAGACGGTTGATGTGAAAGTGGATTGGAAGGAGATTAGGAGCGGGCCCAATGATGATCCTGCTCTCCACTTCCAATAATTCCTCCAGTACATCGAGCTTCGAGTTCATCTCCAGCAGATTGTTGACCATCTCCTCCGTCTGTTCGAAATTCCTGTGCACCATAGACACCTGTACAACCTCAAGCTGGCGGAATGCGTGGACAATAGATAACGCACCCTGCTGATCTGGTCGAAGGTTGACACAACATTTTGAGGGTCGGAGCACATCCTGTCCACAATCTGCATCTCCTCCTTTATGACCTGAACGTTGTTTCGCGTCCCAAGCAATTTCGTGAGCCCCTCCCGAGTTGCATCAAGCTGCTCTTTGACGCCACTTTTGAGTCTGGCATCAATTGAAGCCTTCTCTTTCTCCAGTTTCTTCCGGAATGCTGAGATTTTGAGGAGATCGTCAGGAGACTGGAGGTACTCGCCGATGGCTTGCGCAGCAGATACCTGCGGGGCAGCCATGGGAGCTACGGCGGCCAGGCTGACCTCCAATGTTCAAAGATTACTGTTGCCAGGAAATAAGTCTTTATATGGGTGAATGATTGAATCGAGGAATAAGTGAAAGTGACTTCAGAAATAACACAGTCCAGACTCCACACGACTTAAGGTACATTAGAGGCTGGCTGGCGCCTGTACATAATAGGCGCCTGTCAAAGTCACACATTCAATCTCATAAACTTGTGATTTATTTCATGGCCTTTTTTGCAAAGCCAAGGTCATCAGCGCGTCTGGGATGTCGACGGAGACTGTTTCTCAGATCTTTTAGTTCTGAACGTGCGAGAGATAATGACATCGTGATAGTAGGAGGCGGGCCAGCAGGATTGGCTTTGGCAGCTGCCCTTGGTGCGTCGCTTTTTTTGCTCACGTCTCGCTCTTATTCGAGCATTATGGGCAGCTGCGAACCCTATCGCCAAAAATTCACTCAAGATCACGCTAATAGAAGGGGGGGACTTGTCCAAAATACAGGATTGGGGCATGCCGCCCAACGCGTACTCAAACCGCGTCAGTTCCATCACACACACGTCTCAACATTTCTTGAACAGTGCGTGTACCTTGTGAAGGTGCTTGATATCATAGCTTACTGGTTTCAGGGATTGGAATTTGGGACTACGTCGAACATGCACGCACGAATCCTATTCACCAGATGCAGGTGCGTCTCTGCAGGGTGACATCGTCATTTAGTGCTCAATTGTCTCATATTAGGTGTGGGACGGCGTTTCCGGTGCTCGCATCACCTTTGACGCATCTGTAATGCCGGAGTCGAGTGAAATGGCTCGAATGACAGAAAACCTGAACCTCCAACGCGCACTGCTAAGAAAGCTTTCGGATACCCCGAGTGTCCAGGTAATTCACAGCGTCAAAGTCGAATCGATACAACGCGAGGCAGGTGATCACAATGACTGGCCTCTCGTGCATCTTTCTAATGGCGCCACCCTACGCGCAAGGCTGCTGGTCGGCGCCGACGGGTTCAACTCCCCAGTGAGGTCGTTCGCTGGGATCTCATCATATGGATGGTCATATGACACGCAAGCGGTTGTTGCAACACTAAATCACGCGCCGCGAGGACCATTCCAGGTACCCAACAACACAGCTTACCAGAGATTCCTCCCGACGGGTCCGATTGCATTCCTGCCGCTCTCCCCTTGCACCTCTTCGCTTGTATGGTCGACCAAACCTCATTTGGCAGCAGCGCTGAACAAATCATCTCCAGGAGTTTTGGAACAATTAATCAATGCCGCTTTCCGCCTCCCCGAGCCATCCCTGCAGTATATCTACAAACGACTTCTTGAAGGCACTAAGTCAAGCGAGGAGATAAAGGAAGAAATTATGTTCAGGGAACGCTCGGACGGCATTTCAAGTCACTCTGCGTATGCATCCGCCACTTCAATGCTTTCAGATGGTGGTATTCCCCCGGATGATGCGGATGCGCTTCCTCCCCTCGTGACATCAATTCAGCAGGGCACCACAGCAAGTTTTCCGCTTCGCTACAACCATGCTGAATCCTATATTGGAGAGGGCGCAGGAAGCCGCACAGTCTTAGTCGGGGATGCTGCGCACACCGTCCATCCGCTAGCAGGACAAGGTTTAAACCTGGGCCTGGGAGACGTCGACGCTCTATCAAGGTGCATCATACAAGCTCTGAGACACGGAGGAGACATCGGTGAGACGCGTCTTTCTTCATCGAGAAGTGCCCTTTAACCATCTCTTCAGGCTCGTATACGGCTCTGATACCCTACGCGCGGGAACGCTATTTTGAGAACCACAAGGTGATGTCAGCGGTCGACAAGCTGCACAAGGTCTACTCTTCTACAGCGCAGCCGGTGGTGTGGGCACGATCTGTGGGACTTGAAGTGATTAATGAGCTTGACTCAGTGAAAGCCGCGTTGATGATGAATGCTGGGGCGAGCTCTCGGTTGCAAAATGCAAGCGGATGGGAATTGTTTGCTAAGAGCATCGAGAGTCTAGCAGGGGCCGCTAGTACTTCAAAAATGGTCAGCGGGATGATTGGCGTAGGAATGCAGGAGTTGGCCAAGAACGCTGGCCAAAGATTTTTGGACGCCCTTGAACGTGTTTACATAGATGACCTTGCTTTTTTTCTTCAGATAATTAGAGTCATTCCACGTCTCGTATTCATATTGACCCTCGAGCTCTAAAGCACACTACACTATCTACGAAATATCAACCAAGACTTGCCATAGGGACGTTGCGGGAGATTTTCGCAGGTGATAAGTTTATTTAGCTTTGTACAAAGAGGGACCTCCTAAGGCCCGATTGATGAGGTCATCAACATATCAAGTATGCCCCTCTTTGGATTTTGATATCAACACAGGAGGGTTTCTGGGGAAATATAAATTTGCTGTCAGGACTCAGGAGAGGAAAGTTTATCTCTCGTCAGAACGCCCATCACTACACACTTGCGTACATATTTATTATCATGTCCCTTGTTCACTTCCACTACGACCCTTTCACCGAGTTCGAGCGCCTCTTCGACGATGCTTTCAGTGCCCGGTTCCGTCCAACATCTGATGTCAGCCGAGCCGTCGAAAGCGGGTCTCGTGTAGGGACATTCCGTCCAAAGTATGTGCATAACAAGGGACTCCGAATCATTGCACCACTGACTTTGAGTAGGATGGACTTGATCGAGCTCGAGGATAACAAAGTCATGGCCGTGTTTGATTTGCCTGGCATGCAACCGGAGAATGTCACAATTGACGTGCAGCAGAACCGCCTCACCATCTCAGGGGAAATGAGTGCAGAGAAGGATATCACAGAGAAGGATTACGCTGTGCGTGAGCGCACACAAGGAAAGTTCTCTCGTATCTTGCAGCTACCTGTAGGAACAGAGGTATGTTGTATCCAGCTTACTACCTCCGTGGGCCGAAACTCAAGTCACCTGCAGCCTAACGACGTCAAAGCAAATATGGAAAATGGAGTTTTGAAAGTTACTTTCCCAAAATTTGGGAAGGCGCAAGCTTCCCAGCGTATCGGTATTACTTGATTGATCATGCCAGAAAAAATGTTCCCCAAGAAACGTTGCTACCTCCCGTTGTACAATAATGATAATTAATGCATTGTTGCGCTGTCAAGTATTAATAATGGCTGAGCGTGGATTGTAATAGCAACTCTAGGACATGTTACCGTCTAAGATGTGGATGTGGGAGAGTGTAGTCGTTGATACTCGCCCCTCATGAAGGTCCACCACTGCGGCCCGTACATGTAATATATTGCTCCAAACGCCGCACCACCAAGATGAGCATAATGATCAAACATCCTGTTTCAATGGCATCACCAAGATTAGTGATGTTCTCATGCACATTTTTTGTACCCACCTCCAGCCGCGTATGATGCCAATCATGTCAAGTATGACGATACCACCAACTCCCGCTTGAATCGGTATCGAAACGAAAGGAGGGAAAATGAGGCTGACTTGAGCGTCTGGAAAGGCTAATGCGCTGACTGTCACAGCTGCGTAAATGGCGCCAGACGCGCCTAATGACGGTAAAATCTCCCTCGGAGCAGCAGTTGCAGTCTTTACAGCTGTGCTAGAAATTGCCGTAGCTGCTGGAGAGTTCTTTATGACTGCAGATGCCGTGAACTGATTGACAAGGCGAGGGAAGAGAACTTTGCAAGCAGCAGTGTGGCTAACCAAACCAGAGAAGAGTCCGGCTTCGAAGGATGAGTAAACCAGACAACGAAGACTGGCACAAGCATCCTACCGGAGATGAAGAAGGCAAGAAAATGCCACTTGGCAGTGGCTTCTTGCTGATGTTCACCATGTTTGAGTTGTTCCAGGGTAAAATAGTGCGTGGCGGCCGAGCCTTATAGAGGAAAGAAGTTAGGATGTCCCTCTAGAGAGATATCTAGCGCACCAAAGCTAGCTAGGGCCATTGAATTTGCCAACAAGTGGATGAAGGATTTATGACTAAACGTGCTCGTTAGCAGAGTATATGAGCGTCCCGACAAGGGGTGGTGAGTGAAAGTTCGGGTCATGAATGGCGCGAGTCGTGGTATCTTCCACACGAGATATATAGCCGTGTTGACACCGCAAATCAACCAGCACAATCTTCTGCCTTCGGGGGCATCAAGGTATGATTGTGCAGCTTGAACGTAGACGGAGAGAGCGAGGTTGCGCAATGCAAGAGGCCATTCCGCCAACGTATCTTTAAGTTGATTTACTTGGGTTTGCAGATACTGAAGAAGATAAAATGTATGATGGAGAATTTCGGACAAGAGTGAAATGCACCTTGCCAAGCTCTAAGTACTGAGCCTTTCTCATCTCTTCAGTAGTTGGGGGTCGCGGAGTCCATCTGTGAGAGACAGATGCCAGATGTTTTGACCAGTACTCGGTGTCGACTTCGGTTTGACTTGCAGCTATCGAATACGCGAGTAAAGACCCACCAACAAAAAACTAATAAGCCATAAGCCGGCTAGCTAAAGCATGAACAAATGAAATTTGCTAACCAAAACTTGGTTCCGTATTGTTGGTCGGGGAAATCGAGAGCTGAAAGACTCTACTTCAGTTGAACGGGCAACTTGGTCACGAAAAGTTGGCGGTGTGCTCTGGAATGATTTCTCCGACGTAAACCGCCCTATCCTTGGAAAGTTACGTGGTAAAGAATGGACAAAAGAGCGACTCGAAGGATGAATGCATGGCCGCAAATATCGAGACGTCTTCAGGATGTTGATAGTAGACATGTTATGTTAACGTGTGCGTCACAGACAGAAGATGTCTTCGCCAAATCGGGCGACCCGTCCGATTGACTCCAGTCCCGCATAGTGATCTTCTCTTTTCGCTACCTACTGACATGGCAATATATACGTTGATCTAGTACCTGGACACATCAAGCATTAGGCAAGTCGTCTTGAGCGCCTGGCCTATGTCACAGGAACCATGTTCTACTACATTTCATTCTTGCGGCCACCTCCCACCCAAGCCGCCTTATCTGGTGAACCCATCCTGATCACCCCTCAAATCGCCAATGATCTACGGACAGAATATTACACAGACGCTCAAGATATATTTTATTCGTGGTCCTTGCATTCGGCCACACCAAGCCCAGTAACAACAAAGCCCGTGAAGTTGACGAGCTGGAGGGCATCTACGATGTACAAGGAAATACCCGTCCCACCCCCTCGAAATGTCCGCAATGGAGAATACTGGCGCCTTATCCTTAGCTCTGGAACATCACGAAAAGATCAGGTACTTTCCCTGAACGATGAAAGTCTGGGGCGCCAACCGTTCCCTGTCCTCTCCGATCCTATCTTTTTCTCCGCTCGCCCAAACAAGGCTGTGAAGCAGGAGCGGATTCAGAGATCATATGCGTTAACTGCAAACAATAGAGACAATCCTGTGATATTCAATATTATTGAACAAACCTCCTTTGACCTTGACAAGGCAAGTCAGACATCAGCTCACCTCGCTGCAGATGGTTGAAGTGAGGCTCCAACAGAAAATATGGGACAGTGGTATCGGCCTTAGCTCTTGGTTAATACAACTTCACTCCGGGATGGTTGCCAACACCACCCTGGTTTCAAAAGTGAAGAATACACTCTTCGCCTCCAAATGCAATGTTCTCGAGCTAGGTGTGAGCTCTCAGCGAGGTAATATTCCTCGCAGTGCTGACTCTGAGTAGGCGCAGGAACTGGCATGGTTGCTATCGTTCTTGGTATTTTGCAAGGCCTTGATATTCCTGTCACAGCAGGAAAGATCATAACCACCGATTTGCGTGAGCGGCGATGTGGTAGTAAACGGATACAATCACTCATTGTGGTGTTCAGCCTCTGCTCTGCCCCTATTGCAGAGCAATATAAGTTCGAATCAATCTCTCTACCACCCTGGAAACGCGCCTAAGGGCGTTGTTCTCGACTGGGATGAACTTGACATATCCACCCAGGTGGCATCATTCGTCAATGGCATCGATGTGATTGTGTGAGTACGTATCAACCTGCATCGATCAATGTTTTGAGCTTTCATACTAGGATGGCAGATGTTACATATAACACTGCATCGTTCCCTGCACTCATAGGAACACTCTCCAGGCTTATCATGTTCTCAATGAGTGGCACGCAAGCAAAACCTCCACTGATCATTCTTGGTTACAAAGAGCGAGATGTGGCAGAACGTACTCTTTGGGAAATGGCAGAGAAAATCGGCATACGTTTTGAGGAGGTCGCACAAATTCCTGGAGCGGAGGGCCCACCTGTTGAGGTTTGGGTGGGGACGGTGTTAGTAAATACACAGTGAGCTTACCATATCATATTCGGAAGCGACATTAGTCGGATCCGCGAAGTATCGACTAGCTGAGGTATGAAACACTTGCGAACAAGTACAGATGACTAGAATTAACAGCAAAATGCAATACAAGAAATGCGAGGTATGTAGTACTGAGATAGTGTTGATGATGGTGTACTTTAGATATCAGAGCGATCAAAGTGGCGGAAGGGGCCTGCGACAGTGAGGACAAATATTCTGAGAAGATCGATCAATATGCAGTCTCATTCGTTTATATAGACGGTTACCTTGATAGCAAGCCACTAGTAGATGGTGGAGATTAGCATCTGGAATCCGACAGGAAGCAATAAACGTACCTTCTCCAGACACTCCGTATGCTGTTCGACAGTATGAGCGTGCCGTTTACATATAAATGATATCGAGAACTCACAAATAGATGTTGACAAGGAGCCAGACTGTAGCTTCGCCTTGCTCCGACATTTCGCAGCAATCCACCAGTGACATGTTCTAGCTGTTTCTCATCTTCGGTATGAATAGCCTCCATGCAAATAGCGCAGTCCCCGAGAGATTCCTCAGGCGCTTCTGGGTCAGCGGCAGAAAGCGGTAATGCTGGATGATAGTCGTGCACTTGCGCACGAGCAAACTGCAATGCTCATCAAAAACATCTATACAACTGGAAAAACGCAACCTACTCGTTTTGGAAGGAAGAATGCCGGTCCAAAACGCTGCTGAAGCAGTATAATGGCAACTTGCAGGAAGATGAACATCGCAAGATACCAGATCCAACCTAGTAAAGTATAAGTCAAGTTTGGTTGATCCACGACTCTGAACCTACGGCGGGGCTCGACATCGAGCACATTCTTTGGACATGTCAAGAAATCTGAAAATATAGATATGATGAACATAAATCGACAACAAATGCACTGTACTCACAAAGTGCATGGAAAAGTCGACAGAGTGATGTGCCAATCATATACTCGGCAGTCAGTGCGCTGCTCCTGCCTTTCTTCACCGATCGAACAATCTGTGGCAACCAGAAAAGAGAGTACATGCTTGCCACAAATACCAGCGCTAGCGAAGGAGTCACGATGACTCGTACGATGAATGTTAGGAAGAAAAACATTCCAAGCCCTGAAGGAACGTCAGAAGTGAATACGAGGGCACCGGAATACCTACATATCCGTGCTTGGGGATCAGAGCGAATGTGTCGAAACAATAAACTCAAGAATGTTGGGCCAGTAGATCGAGGAGGAGCTGTCGTTGGTGTAGGCACAGCTTGAGAAGGCACTGATGGTTCCTGTTGTACTGGCCGAGGAGGGGGTGGCGCCACTGCATCCTCTGGAGCTTGGACCTGATTGATGAGGATGGCATGTTGCTGAAAAGCCAATTCAGTCTGCGTAGTCTATCGAGCAGTAAAAGCTCACTAACAGATTCAAAAGCAAAAAGTACGCAGGCAACGAATGCTGGAGCCACCAGCGATAAGGAAGGACGCCCATTAGCAATAATGGCAAAAGTGATATGCCCAGCAAATGAGACAGAGTCTACAATAGATTGTGTAAGGAACGTCCATAGGGACACACGAGACAATCCAGCAGGAGTACGACTTCGGTCAACTTGACGAGAGAGCAGTAGTAACTGCACCAGGTACACCAAAGCCGAGATACCAGCATCTGTCCAAAAATGCGAATTAATAAACTGACTGAGTCAAGACGGAACGTCCTGACATGTGGCAACCTTCCGAAAGAACAACTGAGACCTTAAGGCAAGCACTCAGTTGGGTCCCTAAACAGGAAACGTTGAAGCCATACCTTAATCCTTCTGCGTCATGCAAGTTATATAGAATGCCGCATTCTCTACTCAAAAGCACGCCATTGAGCTTGAGAGGCGGACGTTTCACTGTCCATCTTCCCGTTGGTTTCTGTAATTCGTCTTCAAGGTCCTCCATATACTTTGCAGGTATCTCGGATGGCGCAATTTGTGCGTAAACGCTGAATCCACAACCTCCTTGCGACTCCCCACCTGCAAGCACAGTTAGAAGTGTGACAGACATAGGAGTTAGATTTGGCATACTGGGCGAGTCCTGGTCGATAACACCTGCATCAATCATATCTTTCACCTTGTTAATTCGGGACATCAATTCAGGTTCTATTGTCCGAGCAGTGTCATTCTGGAAAGCTTCTGGGACGAATGCGGGGATATAACGGATATCTATATGTCGACTAACACAACATCTGTTTCAGTCGTCTGAACGTCATCGCTAAGAACACACCCGGTAGGTTCAGCAAAACCATATATTGACCCATTTGCAAGAAAGTGCACGCCTTCAAAATCCAGTTTCATATCATCGGAAGTGGCGGGATGACGGACATCAATTCTGCCCTGTGGGGGATTCAAGTTTCATAAAATGAAGTAATGAAAGCAACCCACGTGAACCATGGCGATCTTTTCGGTAACACCTTTTACGCTGATTGGAGCTCGATCCATTATACTCCATGAAATTTTGTCCGACCCGGTCCAATTCCAAGATCCGAAGTGACCGGTGAGATCTGTCATATTAGTGTCACCCATGAATGTCTCAGCGTGTGTTCTCCAGGAATAGGTTGCGGATCCAAGGCTGGGAGGGGTGATATTGAAGAAGTCGATCTCGCCGTGTGTAAATCCGGTCACATTCGAAAAATAAGATGCCCACTGTGGGTTAAGACGAGACCCAAAGGACATGAATGACCCTACAAGAGGGGTGGCGGCGGCATTTCTGTCTGGCTGCGCTTCGTTAGCATTCATCAGCAGCCAGAAGCAACTTGGTACATACCATTATAAAGTTAGACTCTGTCCCGTTCAGCCAAGCAGTAAAGTTTGACAGCTGGTAGTTGAGGGATTGAAGGGCATCCTGGTAATGATTTCGAGCGAGAAATTCATCCCCAGTGTGATTTGTGAGTATGAAGAGCATAAATATTAGGAACAGAAATGATGGAACGGAGCTCCTCTGCTGTGGTATTCTCGCCGACTGTCCGTCGTTTTCGTCATTGCGGTCCATGGGTGTCAGTGGTACACATTCAAGATTCCACGACAGCACTCAGGGAACCTTCGGAACTTGGAAACCACTGCACTATTGATCACGTGCCAAATGCACTGGCACCGTTAACCTGAGCCGCGATGAAGACAGCACCAGACAGCAAACGGTGGACCCATTTTCACTCAGCACTACAACTTGCCATATCGCGCTCAGCACACAAATGGACGCGAGTATCAAGGCTACTCATATTTACGCGTGGTTTGAACTAATGGTCGCGTAGATACGAAGATTTTCAGGAATGCTTCACGCTCTGGTGCAAGGAAGAGCCACATGGTGCAGAGGGTATTTTTAACACCGTCTCGAGGCATATGGAGGATCAAATACACGTAAGTTTCGTGTTTAAGCATCACAGAATGCGCATTTACTGAGACCGCCTCAGCAAAGCTGTGAGAATTTGTTCAAGGAGTTCAATGTAAGGGACAGTATCAACATTCTCCATGCTGTCGTCTCGGAAGCCAGAGCTCGAAAACAACGTGGAGAAATACATGGCAAGGATGTATGGAGAGAAAACCTCGCACCACGTGCTGCTGTTCGTGCACGTACCGTCCGAGTGATGGAATCTGAAGTAGAGCGTATACGAGCAGAACTGCAGGCTGTAAGTAACTCTCAAACGCTGAAAATTTTTCTGACTTTATCAGCTTGAGGAAGAGAATGCTGCTCTGTACGCCCGGTGTAAGGATAATGACGACAAACAGCGTGCTGCAGATGCTAAGACGGTGGAATTATTGGATATCCTTGATGATGTGCGTGATTTTTTATTGGATTTGTTTGAGCATTCTAACAAATATGCTAGGTTTACGCGAAGTGGAGTCAGCTCCCGCAGGATGAAATAGGAGTATGGGCTCTTGAATCAGCAGAGAATGTCGGCCTCGCGCAACCACCATAGATTGCGCCACGATATGAGTTTAGGGAGATAGTAGCAGTCCGCTTTTTTGGTTGATGATTACTGCTGTACAAGCTATTGACAAAGTGTACTGGAAAGAGTATTGTAATCTATTAATTTGCACCCCAGAAACTCCTCAACGCCTCGTTGACTGCTGAAATCATTTTTAAAAACAACAACACCCAAGTTGTGACAATGGGACAGTAATAATGGCAAAAGAGTTATTGAAGCGACTGATAGCAGCAACTGGTTTCGATCCAGTGACCTCAGGGTTATGAGCCCTGCACGCTTCCACTGCGTCATGCTGCTGATGACCAACCGGTAGACGTTGACATCCTTAATCTCTTTTGGGAAATTAGTACATACCTTCATACACACGGTCTCTTTCCATAACATCATGAGTACCGAGCGGAAGCCAGCACCTAATGCACTATGGGCATATCTTCTCCAGAAGGATCTTCCGGCGTCCAGCGACTTTGCCGCTACACCCATGATTCCTTCAATGGCACCAGTCGACAGGACCAACACTTCCATGCGAATGCTCATTCACGATATGCAGACGACCCTCGAAAAATTTTCTACGAGAGTGGACACTTTACTCATTAACGTCAAGGACGCAAAGACTGAAGTGGTGAACTGTAACCGGATATCAGAGAGTGAACGTGAACGCGTGCTCGACGAGATCTCGAATAGTTGTGAGTGTGCGTTTGGATTACATGTTTTCAATGGCAAACCATTTGAAACGTTTGTAAACGAGACGGTTTATGTTCTCATCACTCTTTTTAGCAAAGAAAGTGCAAACCGAGTTAAAGGCTTGCATCGGTGCACCATCGCAAGCATCATCTCTCGAATTGGTCCAAAAATCACAATCTTCAGCGGAAAACAGCATACAAGCTCTAAACAAGCGCATAGATGCGATTCAAATGGTACTTCATGATTTTACTACTAATCCCGCTTTGTCTCTAGTACACCCAGCTGATAGGCCGTGATTACACAGCTCGTTCAATCTCAGAATCATGCTATGCAAACTATACAGGACCAGCAGCATTCAATACTAACCGCGGTACTTCCCCTTCTTCCACTTGTACAAACCTTCCCTTTGTATGCGGATCAGGTCAAAACGTTCATAACCGATAACGTCCTGTCCAGTATTTCAAGTCTGAGCCGCGATATTGACAGCATGAAGGTCACTTTATCCGATCTATCCGTTCCTTTGAACAGCATGCAAAGTGTTTCCAATTCAGCTGTATCAGTCCTGCGCCCTTTTCCTGAGAATCGGTCCACCCGCAAGCGCACCAATTCGCGGTTAAATCAAGACGACGCACGTTCAGGGCGCTCACAATCCGAACGGCCTCACTCTGTCGACCCGGCGACGAGTAGCCCTTGCACAGATCATCATAAGAAGCGGCGATTGGATAGCGTATTACCTACTACCTCACTTGAGCTCGTGGGACCTCATACGGCGAATTCTCCGGCAAAACACGCCCTGGATGTGCGCGAATCCCTAATTGCCGACAGGTTGACTTCTCCCGCGTGTGGCTCTGTTACTAGCAGCGGCTACACTGCAGCACCAAGGCCTGAACACACCGCGAGGACGCCGCTCGCTGACATACTGCCTCCTCTAGTCAACTACGCCACTGTACAGTTTCGAAAGCCCGCTACCAAATATCCTTCTTCCGGTCCTGCAGCCAACTTTCCAACGAATGTTCAAAAGATGCATGCTTCTTCTCAGTCGGGCAGATATCCACTTCCATCGGTTCGAGTTGACGAGGCGATTCCTTTAGCATCAACCGCTACACCAATCAGTTCGAATATCTCTACTACGGCTACGAAGTCCGACAACTTTGTCCCACCAACTGCTAACAAAGACAGGAAGACGCCAGAATCGGCACCTGCTGCTCTATCCATCCATCCGCAACCAACTTCGAAGGCTATCAAGTTGGAAGAAGTTCTTCGCTCGCCCCTGAGATGTTATCTCTCCATTCCGCCGTCACCGCTATCGTCTTTGTCTCCGTCTCCAGCACTGGCTCCAGCCCAGGCCGTTTTGAAAAATCAGGTTCAGCATTCTGCGAGTGGAATGGCACGGCGACAAGTCACATTTGCTACGTCGAATCAAGCATTCACCTCATCCACCTGTCCTGGTCCTTCGGTACCATCGTTACGTACGCTTGATTCCATGTCCGCATCGATGAGTTTGCGTGATCGACGTGCGCAGATGTCTATGGTGAGCGCCAGTACATGTTCACGGACGATTGGCTTAACATGTACTTTCAAGCTCGGACGTACTGCTTCCAGTGCAAAGCGCTTTATCCCTCTGGGTTCCTCCTCCGATGAAGAAGGCTAAAGACCGCATACATTTCCTCTCTTGCTTCTCAATCCCCGTTTTCACCAGTTGTAGACAAAACAGACACTACAAGAAGTCGAGATGATGTCCATTGATACTACCAAACTTAGAATTCAAATATGTTCATCTTCGACTCATACATCTTTGACTTGCTCCTCCAGCCAATCCCACAGCGCCTTGCCGAGTTGAGGGTCTTGGGTTTCCTGCCTAGGCGGTCTGACGCGAGCCCATGGCACAAGATACTAGAGACGTTTTAGCACCACAACATCACACAAGTCTAATCCCGAGATTCACCTTGCCATTCAAGCTAGCAGCTTCTGGGGACGTAGCAGCATACAACTGCGTAAGGGCGCCTTGCGACACATCATACAGTAACACCTTAAACTGACAACCCCATTAGCGTTGAAAATTTTCCATGAGGATTTGGTGGATTACTATAATCTTCTTGACAATACTTGGAAGTTGTGCCGCAGCGTGACGTGGCAGATCCGAATTGATATTGCCAGGATTCAGTGCCGTCGAAATAACACCCTGGTCTCCATATCGCTTCGCCAATTCAAGAGCAAACACGACATTTGCCTGTACCATGATCAACTTTGTTCCTCAACACTAAAGGAAGTGCTGTACGAATTTGCTTTGGTTGTAGAGTTTGCCCTTGGAGCATTTCTTTCGAGCCGGGCCATCTTTGAAGGTGTTAAAATCGAGACCTCCAAATAAATGGGCGCAGGAAGCGACGTTTACAACGCGGACTTTTCCCTCAGAAGTGGCTTTAGCCGTCGAGGTTAGAATGGGAAGCAGGAGCTTTGTGAAGTAATAGTGACCTGAAATGTACCAGTCCTAGGTCATCTCGGTGTCAGCTGGTGTTAAGTTTCTCACCAAGGATATTCGTTCCAAATTGGAGGTCGTAGCCATCTGCAGTCACTAGTTCGATGGGTGGTGTCATAACACCACTAGTGATGTTCAGTACCACGGATCTCGTCAAGGTAAAATAAGTGATCTCACGCGTTATTTAGAAGGATATGCAATTGTGTTTCTTTGCTGTCAGATATTTTGATTTGAAGCTGACAATTCCTCAAATGCATCTCTTACCTCAGGAACTCTTCAGCAGACGCCTTGATCGCCTTTAGGTCTCCAAGGTCAAGTTTCAAGAATATTGCCTCGTTTCCGGTCTCCTGCTTCAGTTGACGGATAGCCTCCTCTGAGGCAGCCTGGTTGCGGGCAGCGATGTAAACTTTTGCACCATGTGCAAGTAGAACCTTGGAGTCCATGTCAACACAAACCCTCTTCGTTCAATAAAACAGCAATTCACTTTCGCAGTCTCCTTCCCGATACCCGTGTTGGCACCAGTCACAATGATTACTTTTCCTGTCAGATCTGGGATTTGGTCAACGGAAAAAGTGGCCTTTGGAGGTGCTGCGTCGATGACAAATGATAGAACATTGTCCATTGCTTCAAGTTGCCTCCGGGAAGTATATCGCCGACACGGAACAGCTGCCAGCCGCTACTTAAACCCATCCAAAACCCTAACCCCAATACGGGGTTGCTGTCAATGCTCGGAAGGAACCGGCACCACATGTCTGTTTTCATTTTCTCTTCATACGTTCTTTGAACTTCTTTCCCATCTCACTCGATCCTACACAGTATCCTCATATTTTCGTCTTCTCTCCACGCCCAGTGTTAATATAGCCAAGAATTAATATCCGTGCTGTTCTCAGTTATATTTTGAATAGTATACACGTATACCCAGCATCTTATATAGCTATCTATCCCATGCAATAGAATAGAGGTCATTCACGAGTCTACCTGGCTAGCTTATTTTCCCGCCCACCCGGCAATCTCACAACATCCGAACCGAGGGTCCCAACCACTGTTTCTCTGACCTCATGGTATGATCTTTGGGTCAGACGAAGCTTTCCGAGTCTCTGAGGTGCGGTGACTAAAGCGTAACGGGTTATGTATAGCTACATCTGAACGTTATACAAGCCCGCTTAGCTCAGTGGTAGAGCGCGTCACTTGTAACGGATCAAGAGATCCGAGAGATGATGAGGTCGGTTGTTCAATCCAGCCAGTGGGCAAATGTTTTGTTTTGCTCATTTTTTTCGGCCTTCGAATATTCCTAACTTGCCTTCATGCATTACGTAGTATAATGAAGATACCAAGGCTACTTAGGTCTTTCGGGCTCTGGAGACTGTAGTGAATTGATAAACATCTATCATCTAATTACTGATCCGCAAAATACAGGTACACAACGAACGACTTTCAAGATATTCAAGAACAAATTTTGGAAAAATACATGCCCGCAAGAATTTTAACACTTGCAAATTCACTTTTTGTCATATCAAACTGCTCCTGATGAGCGTGCACCACCTCTGTCTCCAATTTCCAGCCACGGGAGGCATGGTTATCGATCCACAAATTCCCAAACCCAATAAGATCAGGGACATTTGAGTCAAGCAGCTGTATTATTAATGGGAGGTGTTAGCACGTATGACCAGTCGCTGACTGGGTGGGATGGCATGCTCTGCTGGCGCTTCCACACCACCTGCTAGAATGCCCACACGCATCATCCCAAGGAGCTACATGACGTAACATGCAAGTAAGTTCACAGCGGTCAACGGAGGATCGGAGTTAGTCGTTAGCATCAATGAATAAGCAAATAGTGTCATGGTACGCACGTTATGCGCTGCGTGAGAGTGGGCATAGACACCGCCAAAGAATGACGCCGTCATGTCTTTCCCAGAGTTTCGTGTGAGTAAAACGGATCCTCCCGGATGGCTATCAAGGAACATTGACACGTCGTGGATAAAACCTGAGATGAGGAGAAGGGTCCGAGACTGGGATTCTTCCTGGACTATTTTTCAAAGCACGCCGACAGAGATATTGATTAGCAACGATTGAACGTGTGCTAACGTGGAGTCACTCACATGTTTTCCACGAAACCACAGGAAGTTCTTGCGGGGGTACGGGCCATTCAATTGAGTCCTGGATGTCCTTGAGAGCCTTGATCTTCATCGTGAGTGCGCCCTTTTCAATTTCGTTGCTAGGGAAAACACGGAGATGGGAGGCAAGACCGATATAGTGACAGACACCGATGAACCACTTGGTAGGGTCGTACTGATACCATCGGAATGCATTCCTAGTGACAAGGCCAAGAGTTGTGTAAATGACGTTGAGAACAGCGCAATGGATGTCAACTGCTACCTGTAGTCCATGGGAAATTGATGGTGGAAGTTATGGTATCCTTCTCCCATAGTGAGAATAGCGGACAAAAGATGATCACGGGGTGTGTGCTTGTCATCGTACGGCGTAGTTCCGAGATAGTGGGCAATAGAGTTGATGCAAAAAGTGCACTGGACTCAGGTCAAGTTTTGTCTTAGATGAACAACACGGAACTCACGTGATGACACGCGGTCATACGAAATGCACCAACGAAGAAGAATCCGCCTTTCCAGTCTCCCCACAACAAGCCAGGGATGATCATCGGAAGCAGGTACCCGAAAATAGTCAGGATGACAAAGTACCATCGGTGTTGCCATTGTACGAGAGGGTCCTTGCCCAAGTCAGAGATATCTGCTGGCCCGGGTTTCAAGTCTGACTTAAAAATAATCCATCCTATGTGCGTCCAGAGGAGGCCTCGTTCTGAGTTGTACGGGTCCAGATCCGTGTCGGTATGCCTGTGATGAGAACGATGGCGGCGTGCCCACCAATAACACGAGCCTTGCACTGCACTCGCCCCTGCAAGGATAAGGAATACCTGCAAGGGGAACGAAGCGTTATACGATCTGTGTGACCAAAGCCGGTGGTATCCTGAGGCAGCACATTCTGATGATATCCCTTGAAGGTTATCGCCACCACTCACCAGCAGTTATGCCTGGTGGAGCAAAATCAACAATCAGAAGAAGCGATCAGCCTTTGCAGAGCACCTACCAAGCATGGAATAAATATAATAGAGGGCAGTGCAAACAACGGTCTTCTGAAGGATGGGAACATAAAGCAAGCCATACAGCGAAAGAGCTGGCGTGATGACAAGGACAGAAAGGTTGAACCATCGTATGCCAGTGATGGTCGGAAAGCCCTGCATCACATTCTTGATAAACATATTGAACTGCCGCCTCATCACCACCAGCAACGCTAGCAGAAGAAGGCGTGACCAAGAAGAACAGAAGGACGATGATCGCACTCGTTACCAGGAGAAAGATTATGAGTTTCTCCTGCAGATTATGTAGTACCGTTGAGACATGGCATTATGAAGGCCCGGTGTGACTGATTTGATCAGGCAGCGAAGATCAGTGGATGACATGTTGTCGTGTGTAAAGTGTAACTCAAACCCGTGGAAGACAATGTCACAAAGCTACTTGTGAAACTCGAATTTCTATGGACGGTGAGCCTGTCATTAGTATTATTAACAGTTGATCCGAGACAATGAACAACAACCTTGGGCACTCACGCACAGGTTTCTACCGGACAAAGTAGTATCATATGATATTGTGCACCGAGCCCGTGTTGCTTCGAGACGTTCAGCAAAAGCAATATCCTATCTAGTTTGAGTTGCCAAAGTGAAAGAATTTTCTGGGAGATAGTTGACGAGGCTTACACTGATTCGTCCAGCATTCGTCTCTCAACTCTGTTCCAATTGGCAAAGAAACAAAAGAATGACATGAATTAATTCCACTTCGGAACTATAAGTACTTAGGTACGTCGTGCCGTGCACTCGCTAGATCCGATACATGCCGCGCCGCGGCATTCTTATTTAAACGATCTGGTTCAGACTCATCGCCGTGACGACACGCCGTTTGACCCCTTGTCTTATCCAAAAAGGTATTCGCCTGTCGACATGTCAAGCTTAAGTTGAGACCGACACCAAATCATAATTAAGAATGATATTGTGCACGGTTACTGGTGAATTTAGGCGGCCGCTAGAAGCACAACTCTAAGCGACGGCGCCAAGGGAAACGGTGGTGACTCGTTGTCATCGGTCGGACTATAACAGTCATCATCTTCGGATCAGCTTTTCGGTTAAGTACTTGGGTCGCACAATTACAAAGTAGTATGTTGATATGTGTAGATCTTGAGGTGTTTCCATTTCCTCGAACAGAAGTCAAGGAGAAATAGGATGAGCAAAGTGCACGGCCCGGCTTCAGGCCGTGGACCAGGTCGAGCCGGGCCAGATTGATTGAATCAATTTATATGAGCAGTATAGTAAAATCAACAAATGATATGGTAGTACGCACGAGACAGGTGAACACGAGGAATTAACCAGATGCGGTGGGCCACATCGCAATGATATGGCAGCGGTAACCCACGTGTCCTCCGACCGTAGTATTTTGATGTGTAGTCAGAACCAGACACGAAAAGGGTCATTCACCCGTGCACGTCAGCGCTCAGTTCAAGTAAGCCTGCACCTGACAATGTAAAATATCAATATTATGGGCCATGCACTTATCCATCATCTCTACTATTGTCGATAGCTTCATCATCGCGGAGATCGTCATGGCAGTCTTCCGAATCAACAAGTACTTGCGCTAAGCGCTAAGGACCAGTCGACAGCTCGTTTGCAGCGATCGCGCCGTTAGAAGGGCAGAATGTCCAAGTCGGCTAAAACTCCTTTAGGGTTCAAGCTGACAGATGCTGGCCGCTCATTAATCAGTGACCACCTCCTATGTAAGTAGATCGTACTCCGAGTCCATGCCACGGAGAACGATTCAGACCTGGTATCGACGCTCGTCGCTGTATCGTACCACTCGCTGTTGTAATGCCCTTTTCCGAGATATTGAAAGAAGTACTGGCCAGGAGGTAGGCCCGGGTATTCGACCGCTGCTTCTAAGTCCTCGAGCGAGTTACTAGTAGCCCGGCGGCCGCCCTTTTTGTCAGGTTCACTGACAAGTCTAAAAAAGTTCTGTCACACAATTTTTTGGTTCGTACCTGTAGGGTTGTGAGACCCTGGCCATCGGTGTAGTAATAGTTTCGTCACCAGCCATGACATGGACAAGTGGTAGGGCTGAATGTTAACACTTGGAGTCCCTGTTAGAAACATCGCTAGGTTCGGTGAAGCCGGGATGAAGATGAGTAGTAGTAAGTTTGCTCCGCGAATGCCATAGTGTGACGTCTACTTATTAATCATTCAAATATTCGAAGAATCAACACTAGCTTAATTATAGGTGTGGTCCCGCTCGAAAATAATATCGTCAAATCTCAGCGCTCAGCCGTGGCATCAAGACTCGAATTTTGTTCACAGCGCTCACTCCGAGTGAGTTTTTCGTAAAGTTTTTTTCTTAATTTGAAACCTGCATCACATGGAACGCCTCAATGCTACCTGTCAAATAAGCCGAGGAAGCAAGAACTTGTTGCGTGGGACTCATGGGAGCGAAACCTTGTTTTGTACTTTTTGGGACATCCCGAGCTTCATGCTAAACTCTCCGTAGTACTCCTTCCTTCCTTCCGCCCACCACACCCTCAGCGGCGTGCATCTCGCAATCAACTTGAACACTGCAGAGTAAAGTCGAATTTATGAATCAAATTACAGTTCATAATACCGGCATCATTCTTCCCTGCTCGTACTATATCAGATCTTATTTGTCTAACAATCAATCTGATATTTCTTCTCTGACCAGATAAGATAGCAGAACGTCGACAAACTGCATAAAGTATGGTCCAACTGCCCATAGACAGGCTTGCCATCACATGTCTATATCCATTTGCACTCCTCTTGGTTACAGTACTGTGCTTGACATAACAGAACGGGAACCATGATCATATGATACACCAAAAGTTCCTCTCGACCTCCATCTTTTCGCGTCTCGAAAAGTGCCGTTTTTTTTCGAAAGACTCGAAACACGATGATAAAATCTACCGGCTCTATTTTCTTCAATCTACATCGACACATCCGTCTGTTTCCTATCGATTTTCACTGGGGTTCATGTGCAGGACGCAACTCAGCCCGTCTCTTGTCCTCATTGAGGCGTGCCAATTTTCAGTGGTCGCAAGAGCCATGCCTGGGTCCTTTTTCCCTGTGCCCTTCCATTCCTGTTTGTAATCTAGAAATGGTGCTATATTCTCCGCGCATCACCTATGGATCTTCAATCAGGCTGTGACAATTGAGTGCGGTGCGCCTTGTACCAGTTCCGTACTTACCGTTGAGTCGCAATTGCGTGGGAGGTCCTCGCACTATGTCTTGCAGTTTGGATTGCTGTAAGACACTTCCGTAAACTGCGACAACATTTGACAGGAGAGATTATTGAGGACTGTCTTACAGTGTTGATGAAAACTCACATGGCTTACTTTGCGAGGTGAGTTCATGTTGTGAATATGGGTTCCTTTGTTTCCACTGAACGGTCGGACGTGCCAGTTTTACTTGCTGTTTCTTGCTTGCAGCTCATTCTTGATTATCACCATTGTCAATGGTATGTTGATCTTTTACTTACGCGTACATGCTACCACAGTTTATTTTTTCTATAGAACGATTCCCTGGACGCTCAAATTTATTTTGACAGTTGTACAGATGTTTGTAATGGGACCCCGCCTGATCCCAAGTGTTCGAGAATAGGATGATAAACTCGTGGCTGACTCCGACGCAGCAACTGGCATGACCTCAATCGCTTTCCAAGAGCGCGTGCATATATCAATCGACATTAGTGTGTAATGCTTGGCGAAGTGAATGGGTGTCGACAAAATTATTAGTAAGCTGATACTCAATGTAGTAAATCCTAGGCCTTATCGATTGATCAACTTTTAAGATGCGGCACTATACTTGCAAGATACACCATACAGCAGCTACGATGTGTCTCGCCCCCCTTGTAACAGTCCAAGCTGCGTCTGACGCAGACACCTCGCTAGGCTCCTTATGTGTTCAGGGAATCACGCGCACGGCTCAAATCTTGTCGAGCGAAGTCTTCACTATATAGCACTATTTATGTACGTACTTGTGGCGGAATCGTTTCCTTTCGGGGCATCTTCTCTTCCCTTCGTACCACTACTTGCAAACTCTCCGTACTCGTTCACTCCCGCATATCGCATCCTCAGCAGCACGCGTCTTGCAATACTGCGGAATTAAGTCAAATTTGCGATTCAAAACTACAATTCATAATACCAGCATCATGATCTTTACTCGACGCAATACTTCGAAGAGTCCATCACGATCTTGAATGCGAGCTGCTGTGGCCATTCAAAGCTTCAGTGCCAGCCCTCATGCGCACCGCTCATCTTGACATCTTAGGTTCGGATCATGGTTTCTGGCCGAAAGTGCTTTGCCCTTGCATATCTAACTTTGTCTGCTTGTAGATCAATCTGATATTTATTTTCGGACCAGATAAGATAACAGAACGTTGACGGAACGTTGACAGGACGCATGAAGTGTACCTCGCCTGCCCATAGCCGGGCTTGCCGTCACCAGTCTACCCCGTATTCGGGATTTCCCATTTGCACCCCTCTTGGTTACAATACTGTACTTCACATCTTATTAATGGTATCTAATCGATCAACTCTGACCCGACTTTGATTACATCGTTTCAACCTCTCTTAATATTCTTCTATCGCAACAATGACAGAGATGAATGAATCCGAGCTCAACAAGCCAGGTGGTGTTGAGGGTTCTAGCCGAGTAGGGATACAAGGGATGGAGATGTTGGAAGGCAGCATTATCGAGGCTTTCAAAGAGAGCGTGGAGCGCTCCGATCCTCAACATGCTGATAATCGCAACGATGTCACTCAGGGCATCCATGGCCATCTACATCACTTTGCGGCTGGCCATCACGTCTGGTTGAACAAATTCGTGCCTCAGTTGCAATCTCTTGCAGCCAAGTATCACGTCGGCAACTACGTTGCAATTAGAGGCACCAATCAACGAATTTTTGAAAGCATGCCGATCTATGCACGTTTGGGCATGCATATCTTATTTTATGGGAGGGAGCAGGTCAAGCTCTTGGAAGGAAACAAGCGCATCGAGGCACTTCTGATGGAGCAGAGCAAGCGTGAGGGGCAGATCTACGACTCGCCCGGGTCCAGGAGTCACATCCCATCATTCATACAGACCTACAACATTGACACAAACGAGCTGCTATATCCGCCCGACAGCCCAGCATACAAGAATTTCAATGACTTCTTCTATCGGAAACTCAAGCCTGGAGCCCGCCCTGTGCAGAACCCTGATCACGAATTCTGCAGTGCCGCGGACTGCCGGCTTGTCGTATACCCTGCGATACACGATGCGCAGACTTTTTGGATCAAGGGGGACGAGTTCACAGTTCCTGCCCTCCTAGGATTAGACAAATCTGATCCGCTCTGCCGGGCGCTGGAAGGCGGCTCTCTCGCATCATTTCGCCTTGCACCATCAGACTATCACCGCTTCCACTCACTTGCGGATGTCACTGTCATTGGTAAACCAAGGGATATTCCTGGACAGTATTTCACAGGTAAGGGGCGCACCTGCAAACTCGACGAATGGGAATTTACCTTCTGTAGTCAACCCGCAGGCAGTCAACGAGAAAAATCTTGATGTACTGTCTGCCAACAAGAGATCGGTTCTCATTCTAAACCATGACGCGACGAATAAGAAGATCGCATTCGTTGCAGTCGGCGCCTTGCTCGTTGGAAGCATCCAGTGGACCGTTTCGGTAAGTCTACGGAACATGATCGTCTAGCATGCCAAACTCACTTCCATCAGGCGGGCTCCAAGGTTCGGCGTGGAGAAGAACTTGGGTACTTCGCATACGGAGGTAGCACTGTCGTTGCTATCCTCGAGCCGGGGATGGTCGAATGGGATTCCGATCTTGTGGCCAACTCTTCGCCCCGGACGCCGGGTAAACTTGGAACCGAGACTCTGATGAAAGTTGGCTGGTCGATTGGGAAGGCACCAAGGAAGTAAACAGAAATTGCTATGGAAGATTAGTATCTCTTAAATGTAAGCGCATTCTATTTTCCCAATCACGTATTATCAATAGCTTTTGAACTATTTAAATACGTACATAATCAAGCGAGTCTGCACGCAAATCCATCTCATCAAGGACTAAACTAAGGAATTGGATAAAACCGTACACTGAGTAGGTGAACGGCGACGCGCGGGCACGGCTCTGCAACTTGGTATTTCTACTGCCTCCAATTTTTCCACGTCTTTCTCATGTACATTCAATGGAAGGCAACGCCTCTGAGTCATGCTTTTATTCTCTTCGTTACATTCGTAATCCGCTTAATTCAAAACAGTCTGTCACATCTAGAAGAATCCTATCAAAAAAAGACAGCAAAAACTTGTACATAAGTATAGGTGACTGAAAAGATTGAGGTATGCACGCCGGTCGGATAGAGTACATCGATGATCGCATCAAGCTCTGCCATTTTGAGATCCGCCTGTCTCCTTCAGTGCCTCCCTACCGGTATTTCGAAAGGCTACGAGGGCATCCCATGCACGTCCAGACGTTATGCTGTTCATCGCTAGCGCAGCCCCTTCTTTGAAGTCCGAAGCTAAACCTGCAACAACCAGAAGCGCCGATGCGTTCAGCAATACAAAATGCAAAACGGGTATCAGCGACACCGGTATATCATTACCCGAGTCAAGCAGTGCCTTGAACGTCCCTGCATTCTCTGTCGGTGTTCCGCCAGTAACGGATGAGAGTGGATGGACACTTAGTCCGAAAAGGTCTGGGTGCAATCTGATTTCCGTAATTTTGCCATCCTCCAATTGCCACGCGTACGTGTCGCCGGCACAGCTAATCTCATCAAGTCCTTCGGCTCCACACACAACGAGGGCACGCTCGACGCCACCGTCACGGAGGGACTGAGCGAAGGTAGGACCGAGTTCACGCTCAGCCACACCCAAAACCATTCCTCGTGGACGTGCAGGATTTATGAGGGGCCCAAGGACATTGAAGAGCGTTCTGAAGGGTAAGGACTTGCGGTATGGCGCGATCATAGCGAGTGCAGGATGGTAATGAGGCGCGAGGATGAAGGTGAATGGCACCTTAGATATGGGAAAAGGAGTGCCTGGTGAAGGGGCAGTAAATGAACAATCAAGGGATTGTAAAAGATCTGCTGATCCAGATGAGGACGTGGAAGCCCTGCTTCCATGCTTATTGTTTGATTCGTCAGATAAGTCACTACAGCAGATGTAATGTAATCTTACCTTGATCACTCGAGCACCTGCGCCTGCGGCAACGACGGCTGCTGTGGTACTAACGTTGAACGTGTTGTGACCATCACCTCCAGTTCCAACGATATCGACAACAAAATCCGTGTCTCCATCTTCGATATCTGCTTGTAATGCCCGTGCCCTTAGGACTTCAGCAGCCGCAGCGAGGGATTCTGGGCGTCTTTCCACTCTTTCTATGTGGAGGGCAGCGAGGAATGCACCTATTTGTGCAGGAGAAGTAGCATCTGGGGTAAAAAGGCGATGAAGTGCGAGTTTAAGGTCTTCCGGAGTGAAATACTCGGGAGTCTTGACGAGCTTTCCTAGTAGGAGTTTGAAGGAATCGGGAGTATATTCTGTCATGTGGTAATATGCACGTTGCACCAGACGCCCACACACACAAACAATACATTATGTAAGATCTAATCAGTACATAACACATCACATCACGCCTGTGGCGCACGACTGCTCTTCCAGAGGCTATGATCATAAGCGAAATATATTTATTCTGCGTGTCTATCATGCCCTGACCCTGCTATCTCTGCCTCCCATCATGATGGCAGCTTCTTCCAAACTGACAGAAGAAAATTGGTATCCATCCAACCTTCTTGCATATAACGCACTCCCGGCTCACCAAGCCTTTGACTCCCCAATATCTGATGCGAAGTCCACTGCTGATACTAGAACCGATTTCTACGACCGCAGTCTGACGAGTCGCAGATATGCCCTTATCGGAGTGGCATGTTCAAGTATCTTCGGCTGCTTATGCATTACCGCAGGTACTGTAACTTTAGCCAATCACGGAATCGCGGGAGTAACCCCGCTCAACATGATGGATTGGAAGGGGAATACCAGAAATCCATGGTGGCTGCAATTGAAGATATATCCCCTGATACTCAACTTAATTGTCACATTATGTACAGAATCCATAGGTTTCATACACGGCATCTCATTGCGCTCTGCGCTAGCCTCAGAGTCTCGGCTTCGTTTCAACACCAATTTGCGCCTTCTGACCGCAGCTCGTGGATGGTATAACCCTAACGGTGTCCTGCTTAATGGTATCTCGGCTGTCCTCCTCATTATATCTTACAGCTCGGCCTCATTCATCATATATCTGGACGACCAATTGACCATGCCAGTCTCCACAGGCGTCGCCATCGCCGGGTTTCCTCTCCTTATCCTGGGCGTCGCACTCCTCCTCCAAGTGATGATCGCATTGTCAGGAATGCGAGCTGTCAAAATCATGACGTGGAGCTCCTCACCTTTCGACTTGACCGCCGCGCTGCTCCATCACACGCAATTGACCCCTGACCCTTTCCGGTGCATGCGTCGTGTGTCTGACCTAGACACATATGGAGGTCCAGCGAAGCCACAAGAGACACAGCCCTCTGCGTGGCATGCTCACCCTAGCATCCGGAAAGTTGTCATTTTCCTTTGGGTAATTGTTGTAGCATGCGCTGTATGGGCCGTACTCGTCATGTATTTCTCGGACCTTTACGGTCTTCCGCTGACCCTACGAACGTGGTCGTTCTTCCAGAACGAGCAGTCCAAACTCATCTCGTATTTCTCATATTATATGACAGATGTCAATCTTGAGGCGTGGGCTCTGTTCTTTGTCAACATCGCAGTTGTTCAGGGACCGTTGACGCTTATGTTGCATTGCTCGGAGCTCACCGTGAATGTCATTCGAGACGAAAGACAATGGAGATGCGCTACCGGAGGGAAAGGACTCAGAGTGGCGACGAACCCGCTGGAGCCGATTTTGACTCATCCGATCTGTCTCATACTTTTCTTCGCGAAGCCTTTCCTGCGTGAGTCATTCACGCTTGATATTTTGTTGTCAGTGTTATTGAACACTATCCTCGACGATCACAGACTGGATGTTTGCGCTTTCATTCAGTGTATCTTTCATAGCCTTTGACGAGATTGTATCTGTTTTTTCTGTATATATGTACACCGCCCAGGTTCGCACTTACTGCCCATGTAAAGTTTTACAACATTCTCACATTTTTGCAGATCTGGAACTTATGCATTGCGCTCGTTATATTTGCCTGTTTCTTCACTTTCATCGCACTGCGCCGACCGTACGGTCCTCAGCCGGCTGCATATGGCCATGTCCAGACGCTCGCCAACCTCGTGGATGAGTGGTCACCTGTGATGTGGTGGGGACACAAGGAGGATGGAATTCCGTACTGTCATGCTGGTGGGGCATTTGTACTATACTCACGGTGATGCTGCATTGACACTTCTGAAAAGGGACGAGCGATCACCCGCTACCGGACGTGAAGATGGACTGTGTTTATGCTGGTTCCGGTGCTGGGTCTCCGGTATCCCTCTCATGAGAGGTACTTTCTTTTTTCTTGAAGGGAACTTCTTGACTTTTATTTTTAAACAGAGAAGCTATATCCACGCCAGGCTAGCAATGCATTTACGGTGCACACAACTAGTCATGTTGTTGAACGAGACATACAATTTTTATGCTGTCTGCTGTGTTGTAGTTGGTTCATATTGTTCTTATACCGTTCATACGAGTCTGGGACAACTTTTAGCAGGGACACGTTCGATTTGACCTTCAAGGGGTTGTTACATCATTGTAATTTTGGTAGTATGTATTGTAAAAACTGATCAATTATGCATTCCATCATCAGGCTACGCATGCACGAGCTTCCGTGCTTCGAGACATCGAATGAGGCGAGAAGATAAATCGAGGACGGACTGCTGAGGAACTGAAGCATATTCAGGTTATTGGTTTAGAAAATGATTCGCACATATGATATAGTAAATCACCTGACTAAATACTTGGTCCAGAGCTTGCAATCTACTTCAGAACTCAGATTAATACCATAAATAAAATAGGAATACATTAAAGCGAATTCCCCAACTCTTTGTAGAGCAACAGACAGCTGTTAACTCCACTGAGTATTACACACTACTGCTAGTTGATATGTGCACACGCTCCTGGAAAGCAATCGAGACCATGCCAGTTACTGTGTCGGAATCGGCCACGAGATATTCTCGAACGCTGAGGATCAGGCGGGGTCCCAGCACAAACATCTGCACGACTGAGAAAACCTGAAGAAACCCATAATAAAGCTGAGCTTCCAGGGAATATGCCTATCAAAACGATTAACTGCGTTAGCATGCAGAGGTAAGTGAAAGATTGACCTACCGTTGGAGAGAATTCAATAATGAGCTCGAAGCAAGAAACAACAACAAAGCTACACGTCCGGCCCTTCAGTGGAAAAAAAAGAATAATAATGACAATACGAGCTTACCTCGCAAAGTAAATCATGTGAGTTTTCATCAACACCACGAAACAGTCCCTAATAATCCCTCCTGCCGAATGTTGTCGCAGTTCATGGAAGTGTTTTACTGCAATCCAGACTGCGAGACACAGTGCTAGGACCTCCCACACAATGGAGAGTACCCAAGCAACAGAATTCAGAAGTAAGATATCTTCCGCATAGCCAAACGAGCACTGATGGGTGCCAGAGAGAATGAGTTCCTCTGGTATTCATCATTGAGCCCCATGCACGTTGTTTTTATCCACAATTAAGCGTACCTCCTGAGCCATGTATCGTTATCATCATGGCGTCCATTCCGTCGAAAATGTTGACAGCCAGGAAGGTGACAATGAGAAATATCAGGATCTTTCTGGATCCTTGATACATGGCATGCAACCGAGTGATGATGATGACTTGCAGCATGTTTCAGTTACGTCAGTATCACTGAGCTGCAAGTGCTAAGCTCACCCCACAACATTGCAAATACCACAACACCTATCCAAATCCATACAACGTTCACAGTCCAGCCTGACGAATCTAGTGAGTGATCGGCTTCGGGTGACACACACTCCAAACAGACTCACATCTGTAGCCGTATAGCATGGCGGTCATTATAGTGAGCCAAGAAGTTAGTAAAGACCACACTCACCCCTACAGGGCGACACGGTTAATTGGACGAAAACAGTAGGCATCTGTACAAAATACTCACTGTATCTGTCAGCGAGATGGTCTGAAGATTGACTGCATGCCATTGGTCAGAAGAAGCAGAGACAGTGAATGTACTAAAGAGACATACTCAACATGTACAGGCTAATTACGAGAGATAGCCGATTAGCGCAACACCGATCGTTTAACCTTCCGAACTTACGCAGCATATAAGATTCCAAGGTAGCGCACCTAGGATACTTTCAAATCAGCACAACATGACAACCGTGACAGGCAAGCTACAGACGCTGAGATACAGAACTGTCATTAGGGACCAGCGCTGCCTCTGTAATGAAGATTAAATGTATCTTCATGGTTGTTCTTCTGACATGAGATTCTACTTACCCAGATCAGTTCGACCTATAAAACCATTCTTAGCGAGATAGCTGCTCCGATTATAGTATCGACATACCTCTTGTCCAAATGTAAGTGCTGAAAATACTTGTAAGATATCAGCAGTCCTTTAACGCTCTCACTGTGCTCACCCCAATCATATGTCACTCCAACGAAAGCGGCAGCTACGAATCGTCGTCGAAGTTATTGAGACATCAGCTTCAACATCTGACTGTAGCCCACGAACCTGTAAAATAGCTGGAAAACCGATATGCATTGATGATCGGCCACCAAGTGGGATCATTTGAGACTATGGTCATATCGGTAGAGAATTGGAATTGGTGTGGATGAGAGGCGAACTTGGGAGACGCATGACATATAACATTCGCGCTATATGTACTACTAACCAAGCAACCGAAATATAAGGTATTTGTAAACTTCACGTACCAGATGTCACGATTGCATAGCAGATGCGTGGGCTCCAGTTCCAAGGAATTCGCTAACGCCTTCTTCCTCAGTCATCGGGCTTTCGTATCATAAGGACGCCAATTACATACAATGGTTAGTGCAGGATAGGGAAGTTTTGTCTTCGTGTTTTTCACGATTTGAAACGGCGCTTGGAGCCACTTGATACGATACATAGTACTATCAGTATCGATCGCGGGACACCTAAGCATTGAACGAACAAAACTACGAAGCTCGCATTGATCTGAAAATTCAAGGCTTCCGAGTTGGGAGGGAATATTCGGTAAGTTCCAAGTTATTGTTGTTTTTCCGAACAACGTTCAGAACGATACTAGTACTATCTTGTATTACTTATATAGAAATTTGTTGAACTTTGTTCCAGCTTCGTCCGATGGACCGATGATGCTCGTGTTTGGGACTAGAGAGATTCGGCTATGCCTAGAGTGTTAACTCTTCGCAAGCAGATGGGCGTGAGACTCGGAGGTAAACAACTTGTTAACATGGAACAACGCGGAGAAGGGAACGGTACAAGCCAGAGGAGCAATAATTCACATGCGTCAGATGAAACGAATAACTAGTCAATTTCACTTTTGAAAGGTTGAGAGGTATTACAACTCAGTTACAACTCGCTCCAGAAGCCATTCCTTCATCGCTGGTTCGAATACGACAACGGGAACCTTCCCTTGACTAACCGTGATGTTCGTCTGCTCGCATTTCTGCCTATGATATCCTGCAAAGGTGCCCTTGTTCACGATACGGATGGTAGGCTTTCTTGATTTGCCTTGCCAAACAACGATGCGATAATCATCGCTTGCTGAGATAAGATTGTCAAACAGTTGATTTATCGCCATTCTCGCATCCTGTCCTGTGAATATCAATCAGTACGCAGCGGCATGAATGATTCGGATTACGAAGCAAGCACGAACGTAGTTCCCCTGCAAGCTCTATCAAGTACCCATAAGTGACAGGCTTATCTCGATCGTCCAGCACAATGGTGAAAGATACGATCTGGCCGATCGATTGTTGAGCGGCAGAGACGATCGCGTCCGTCAACTGCGACTCTGTACACGATGCTCCAAATGCCACTCCAAGCGAATCACTTCCCCGCCAGACACTTCAGCTAAGCCTAAGCCTGATGACATCACAACTCACTCTCGCCTATGAAGATAATTGATGATCGGTAGGCCGTCATCTGGAGCAAAGCCTTTAACGGTGATGACATCAGCAAGGCGGTATCTCCACAAGCCATTGCGGGTCGTCACGACGGGCTCGTAGTGCCCACCAGTTACGAGTTCCCACTAAGGGGGGTGAGAAGACAAAGTTAAGATGCAGTCAATAATTCCTACAGCGGACAATACACGGTCTGAAGGCTCGTTGGAACGCACGTCCAGAAACTCGACGACCCCATCTCTAAACGTCACCTTGAAGTCAGTATTAGGGTTGCCTTCAGGGTATACCCTGGCGATACCGCATTCTGTACTACCATACCCATGGGACTTGATGGTAACGGAAGGTCCGAGGAGGTGAGTAATCTTGTGTCACTGGCTATCAGTTGAGTGGTAAACCTTCCGCACTTGACGTGCCTTTGGAACAGAAACAGCAGCATGACCTCCAGTGATCCCAACGAATTGTTTCAAGTCAGGCCACACGCAGACTGCCCAGCCCTGGATGACAGGAGGCCCGATTTCCCGAAGTTCAGCAGCGCGAACAGGGTCGGGAGTAAGATGTCTCTGAGAAAACTTGTGAGCTCGATGCCATGTAGTGGACAATAAAAATATGACCTCCAATGGTGCTCGCAGATCACCTAGGTCTTCAACATCCGGGATGATACCCTTCTCGATGCATTCGACAAGTAAAGTCCATTCATCTTCCACGTACTGCAAAAAAATGACGAACACATTGGCAAATAAGAACCGGATGGTTGTCACTCGACGATCCGCCAGTGCAAATAGCGCATTCAGAATAGATAAAGTGCGATAGCTTTTAACCAAAGATATCGCATATGGTTCCGTTCTTCCCGGAACTAAAAGTTGCCTAGAGATTAGCTTCCATGAGGATATTGGTGCCACGGGCTTACCCCACAGATCGAGTCTATCCTTATCATGCTCGACGTCCCAGTTCATTCCCATTCGCAAAATACCGATGCTCGCAGAGCAGACAGCTACATCCTTGGAGCTCTGACCATCCTCGCAATCTATCTTTAAGACTTGCCAATATCTCGAAGAGAACGGTGCCAAGGTGGTACCATCTGACGGGAAAAAACCCTGATACGAGGATTGCTGTAAAAGGTGTGGGGGAGGCCGATACTTTGGGAACAACTTTGGTGCGTTTCTAGATGCCATGCTAGTCATGGCTAAGAAGTAGGGCAGTCCCGGGGCAAACATGTTCTTGACGTCAGCCTCCATGCAAGGAGTCACCAAAAACTTTGCTATAAACGGCCTATAA